AAAATTTTGTGGTTTAAAACCTGTAAATACAATACAATTATATATTTTCAACTTACTCCATTCTCCAAACGGTGAAACTTGCAACAAAATGAAACTGAAAAATTACCCTTACTATAATATATAAAACCCCAATCTATTCAGTTTCTGCTATCAGGTCATGGGCTTTCCTCGTCGCATTTGTGAATTAAATTCAGGATAGACGCATAGACGGTATAATTTGTTTTTCGTCTATTTAGCACTAAGCTTGCCTTAAATTAAAAACAAATGTAACCCTGCTTTTTAAGTAAGTTCATCGGCAAGTTAAAATTAGCCAAGAACCTAATGGGGAAAGCTCTTTCGCCATGATACTGACAATGTATTTAAATTAATACACTTTCTATTTTATTTGACGATGATCAAACAGATGGCATTTAGTTGTGCATACGAAAACTATGATGTAAACTTTGCAAAATTTCCCCTTCAAATCAGAAACGCATTATACTGTTGTAATCATGAAGGGGAACTTGCAAATTTCAAATTTGAACTCTTAGGGCCTTTTTTCATGAAGGTGGGGGACCCCAGGAAGGTGAGGTAACCCGCCTGTCCATATAATCTCTCATTTTAATTTGACTAACAATAGAAAGCAACAGGACTGAAAGTTGCAGCAAGAGCAGCAAGTGAGTGCAGAAAAGCTAAAACACGTGGTTTGCCAACATTTTTCTTGTTCACGTGTTAAACGGGTAGTAAGATTGCATGTAGAGGAGGGTTCTTTTCTAACCCCACCTCAGCGCCCTTGCGAAATAACTTTTGGAATTCCTAGGATTATCCTAGGAATTCCTAGGAAAAAAATCCTAGGAATTCCTAAGAATTCCTAGGAATCGTAGGTGTGAATTTTCACGGTAAATTCGGACTTGGAATTCCTAGGAATTCCTAGGAATTCCCAGTTTAAAAAGTTCTGGTTCTAAATTCCTAGAAATTCCCGGAAATTCCAAATGGAAATGAAACTAGACTTGGAATTCCTAGGAATTCCTAGGAATTCCAACCTGCAAGATTTTAAAGCACAAAAAATTCTTAGAAATTCCCAGAAATTCCTAGTAGTTCCTAGGAGTTTACAGGTTTAACATAATGTCATCAATCAACATCCAATGCCAGGATAGTAAAGTATAGGCAAATTTAATGATTAATTACCAACTGGAGAAAGTATGGAAATTACATTTAAACAAGTTTAAGATAAAAATGTTCAAAATCACATCTTATGGTACATGTTTTGTTTTTTAAAAAATTGAATAAAACAATTAAAGTCCTGAGGTATAAATCGTTCTTGAGTCATCATTGAAAAATTGTGGGACACATTTGTGACTGGAACAATACAGCAAGAGAGTCTTGATTGAATTAATTTTACAGCGGGAACATAGATGTAAAAAAAAAACAGTCAGGCCAACTTGCTTCCAGCAAGCTTATCTGCTAAGCCCTTATTAAGCCGCTCTTTTAATTCAGGTCTCAAACTGAGAACAAAATAATGAACTGGAAACTAAAATACTTGTAGTACATGGCGTTTAAACATACTTGTTCATGACTACAGTAGAACCCCGGCGGTGAACTCGAACTCTAAAGGGAAACGAAAAATAGTTCGATTTTAAGTGGGGAATTCGAGTTATCGGGGTAAACTTCAGTGAAATCTTGATCAAGAGAAAGCAAATTTAGTTCGACTTAGCGGGGAATTCGAGTTACCCGAGTTCGAGTTATCGAGGTTCTACTGTATTAAATCCGCCAGAATCTGATTGAGTATTAGCTTATTCACGTAGAATTCCATCAACCATTTGCAACAACGACTACAGTTATGTCTCCAGTAAACAAAAAGGAACCAATAAATGGTTTTCCATGCCATCTTGAAGTTTCGTGTTCATATATGGGAACGATCTATAATTTCACTTTGATCTCCAGCTTCATTATTTGAGTACGTGGTTACCATCAGAAGACACATTACGAAGCAGGAACGTACCTTTACCTTTCACAATCCAGCTGACTTATCGTTCTCGGACATGACTGGAAGCACGTTTCATGTGTCAGCAACAAAATAAATGAACAATCCACGTTTAAAATAACGTCAATTTCGGATGCAAAATACTTGTGCTCTTGCTAATGAAAGTCGTCGTGAATTTGAACTCACCAAACGGAACTTCATTTCACACTTTTCCATTGGTTCAAAAGGCGCACGTGATGACGCAATTCACTTAGGGGGGAGACTGGTAACCAATATAGCTCAAACATGGCGGATGATTTTGCTCGATGATGAGCAAGTTGAAAAAAGCGGTCGTTTTCAGAGCTAAATAAAATATTCCAGCGCTTTTGAGGTATAAGCAGCGAGAGGAAAATTTTGGGCTTAACTGCAGAATACCCTGCCACTTATTTGCATGTCATTGAATAAGAATAGCATCTATTGTGTTATGCTTCGTTCTTCAAAGAACGCCGACCAACGAAAACAATGGTGGTACAGAGTGGCAGGGTATTCAGCACCCATGTTTGGAAAGCTCAGGTACGAGAAGTGGCACTTTGAATAAGCTTTCAGTATAGTGCCTATTGTTGATAATTTTTTTTTAAAGATTTAAGTCGCAATAAATGTTGTCTATAGATGCTGGTTAATGTCAAGAAATCCTTGTTGTTATAGGCAATTGAAGAAATGATTATTAAAATTTTTTACGCTTTTTATTACCTTTGAACACTTATCGTTTTTCCTAAAAATTAAGCCAATTGTTTCCAAGTTAACAATGACTTGGAATTATCGAGAATTCCTAGGAATTCCCACAAATTCTCATTGGTGTCTAAGCAATTCCCAATAATTCCCATAAGTTCCAAAGACAGTTTCCTTCAAACTTGGAATTATTGGGAATTCCTAGGATTATTCCCAAAAATTCCCACTGGTGTTTTAACCCATTCCCAAGTATTCCCAAATATTCCAAGGTTTTTTATCTTTGCTCATTTGCATGTCTTGGAATAAATTGGAATTTCTAGGAATTCCTAGGAATTCCCAGAACTCTGGGAATTCATTTCGCAAGGGCGGGTTATTCCACCTAAGCGGGTTACCCCACCTACCTCGGGTCCCCCACCTCCTTGTCAAACTCAGAAAAAGGTGAATGCCTGGAAAGTTTCGCGCGCGCCCGGTACTTTGAGGGAAAAAGAAAACAAGCTTAGCAACTCGACAAATAGTGTATAACACAATCTAGGAATCAGTCGTCATCCAAACGAGAAACAACGACAGTCAAAGCTGTTGGCTCATTGTCAAAGTGGAAAAATAGAACTGTATCTTTGCGTAAACTAATTAGATTATTTAAGCGCACATTTTGTTCATTTGTCTATTCGATATTTTTAAAGTTATCAAAACTATAGCAAAATTCTCAAATCTGATTGGCAATCAACTGCCATGCTTTCAGCAATAAACAGGACAGTACGCGCGCACTTAAATGGCCTTTTTTTCACTGCTTGGAATTTCTTGTGTTTTAATTTAAAAATAGAGCCTTATATTATCACAAATTTTGTTAAAGTTAAGATTAATGGGTAGGAGAACTTCATGTAGTCTAATTCGGTCTGTAATCATACTAAAAAATTATTGGATTAGGTTTTTGTGATAATCAAGGTCGAGGTAAAAATCATACACCGCGGTCATACATGACATGATTACCCGTGACGTCGAGTTTAGATGACGTCCCAAGCGCTGCTTTCGAAATCTCACTGCACGCTTTCGGCCAATCACAAATGAGATAGTGAGTTAAATTTACAATAACAGACCAAATTGGACTCCACTCCTGTCCTCTTCCTATTACAAATTAAACACTTAAGAAATCGGAAATTAAAAACTGCATCATTCTTGGCCATCATTGCCCACTTCATTCTTTGACTTCTTCCTCCTTTTACGCTTCTTCTTTATTTTTTCGTTGTTTTCCCCTATGAAAAATAAAAAATTTAATCTTACATCGCACGGGTTGTTTCCAAACCAGCATTCTGGTTTGGGAAATTCAAGCGGAGTGCTTAACGGCTCTTTTGCGTGTTCTTGCCTTATTCTCAAGTCATTTGCTCTTGTACGTTTGATAAATATAATGATGACTGTCCTATGAAAGGGGTTATAGGTCACTACCGCTAAAAAAATTGCTGTAATGTAATAATCTAAAGTACCAGTAAATATTGATTTTCGAGACTGCGTATGGTAGGTGTGCATCACATTGGAATACTTAAGAGTGAAAGAAGGAAACCCTAGGCACGAAGTACAGAAACTGATTTCCCTTTTTTTTATATTTTTGATAAATCGCTCATTTCATGTCCTAAGCATTTATACTGTGATCATCAACAACCGGCTACAACGTAAAGAAAAACAATATTCTAACGAATGTGCTATTTTTTTGCACGGAAGAGAAAGAAAAAAATTCTAGCAACAAATTCCCAGTAACATTTACAGTACCTTTTTCTATGACACCAGCTTCCCCTTTTCGCCTCTTTGCCTCAGGTGGACCTTAGTGTTTAATAACGAAAAAACTACATATTCAGTTTCTTTTCTAGGTAACGTTGGCATTTTTAAAGAACGTTGTTATGGTGAGGAAAATGGTTTGACTTGTTTTGTTGTACTGTGGGAATGACAGCTAAAGGTATACATACAGAAAGTTGAATTAACTTAATTCCATTCCTACACCTCCCATGGCATCATCATCCTTTCTCTCATCTACAAAGTCAGTTAAATAGTCAATATAAGAAAAAGTTCAAAGAAAATCAAGTAACCTGAAGTTTTAATATACACGTAACATAATGATAAAGAAATTTAATGTGCATGAGTAGACTGTTCAAATTCAGCTCCAAACGAAATATCAAACGAAAATTAAATCGCTCATTGACTTTAATGAATCTTCATCTTTTGACAACCTGTTTATTATTATTGATCTAGGATTGCTTTAAACTAATGAGAGATGATTTTTTTTTTCGCAAGCTCTGAGCTGGATCACTAAGAACTTTGTAACTTTGTAATTTATCACGGAGTCTATTCGAGTCATTTTATGCATGGGACTTGAAGAATTCATTAATTTCCACGTCACCACTTCATATCACGTATACAAACGTTATCTTTGGAAGTCTTACCGGGTAAGGTTGAGGACAAATCCTCAGTGCCCTTTGGCAATGATCCTCTTAAGGAAACCTGTGCAAAACAAGGACGCAACATCAGCCCACTGTACACACTGCGTAATTTCTATGTGATGTTTCTTAATCTAAACGTAAATTGGACTAATACTAGAAGGCTTTCTAATATATCATGATACTGTTGTAATCATGAAAAGCAAGGTGCTAAATTTCAAATTTGCTATTACTGTTACATTACTATAACTATTATTATTATTAGTTGAAATATTATATTTTTTGTCCAACGAAGAGTCAATGGGCATAGGGGAAGATAATTCATAGACTTTTCTGAGTACAGTGGTGCCATATTCCATAGGCCTTAGAGCAATAATAATTACCTCAGAATCAAGGAGTGAAAGCATTTCTTCCTCTTCCTGTACAAGATAATAATCACACCACTTACAGTTAAGACATGGACTGTTCTTTTGGATGTTACATAATTTTTGTGTAAGGGTTAGAAACCTGAAATATATCTTTCTGTAGGAACCAGGTGATCATTTAATGATACTTTACTTGGATTAAATTATTACTGTTCTCTTGCTACCCTCTAGCATTTAATGTCACCCGCATCTTCACTTTCTGACGGTGCTAATATGTCCTCCATTGAGGGAAAAACAATAATAATAAGAATAATATTTTCATGTGTAGATATGTGTACTGAACACTGTCCATGTACTGTAGATGGTATAGATACACTGGGTGGGATTTTTTAAGCCTTACGGGCCTATTAATCTATTAGCCTGGACCTTCTATTTTAAAACAAGTCCATCTGTGAAACAGCACCAAAACCCTTATCCTTGGCCCACTACTGTGTACCAGGAATTGGGTATCTTTGAATAGGTGTGAGTAACTTTAAAAAAAACTATTGTCAATTTGCCATTCAGGTCGAAGGATAAACAAATTATCAGCGTTACACACCATGGTTTGATTACATTTGTGACGCAGGATATGGCTCTGTAATATCATTGCCTTGGGATATTAATTTTACGATATTTGTCTACGATTATTGTTACATGTATCTCAAGCAATACATACATAAGTGGGTAACTTGTTAAACAGGTTGAGTGTTGTCTAGCCTAGTTAACCTTCCCAGAAAAATTGGTTTGTAATTTCACTATTCATGATTGTCTCGATTCATTGTTTAATATTAATATCCTCACTCGCTCCTGTAAGTGGAGTAAACAGTGTCCTTCAACAGGGTCCTCCAGCTTTTTCACCCCTCCCCCTCCATGCAGGGTAAAAAAGAGGGGCCGGCCATCCTGGCAGCCAACCCAGTCATAGACTGCCTATAAAAAAAAAAAGCAAAAAAGTATTTTAGTAATTTATCTCAATAGAAGGTTTTTTTTAAGGCCATTAAAAGAATCCATCTCTTTTAAGTTGAAATGATGGTCATACAACATACACGGTGGATTGATTTGTCAGGAGGCAGAGTAACATGTAACAGTACCTGTATTTTCTATATTTTAAAAGTTTGAATATTCCCAGTGATACATATGTACACTTCAAATTAGCAAGAGCTTGTATCTGGTAACATGATTCCTTCTTGATGTAGCGGCTAATGCGCTCATCATTTGGAAATTTGACAATTACATGCCAACCACTTTTGTCTTCGTTCAACACTCTACTGAACCTTGCCTCTCTTATAGCCCACTGCAAAGGAAAAAAAGAGTATAATATTCTAATATTCTTGCGGTTTTGAGAGAGTTCCTACTCATAGAACATTTTTTTAAAGAGAGCAGATAGTTCTACAGGCAAGCTCACTGAAATAAAAATACCTAGCTAATTCTTCTAAAAATTATTATTAGTCTGCACTTTTATTTGAAATACAGCTTTCCATGCCCATTCTAGATTCTTAAATGAAAAATTGAGTTCCTAGTTTTAAAAATGAATCTACAAATATTATACTTACCTCTTTACTCATATCTTCTTCCATCTTAAAAAAAAAGAAAGAAAGAATCTCATGTTATTTATATGATCTAACCTGTTCCAGGCATTTAGATAGTGGGGAGCAAGTTAGATTGTAAGCAACAAGTGCAAAAGAAACATGAGGGGAAACAAAAAGGAGGAGAGACTGGGGATTTTTTCCCTCATCAATGTTTAGTCCATGCCCAACTTCGCCCACCCTTCCCACTATCTGAATGTCTGGGACAGGCCAAGGGGGATCACACAATGTTAATATTGTCAGGTTAATTTCTTACAAAAGAAAAGTGCTGGGTTCAAAACCCTGCATCTGGGACTCACACAGGCACTATTGTAGCTTTGTCAGTCCCAGCTGCTAGTTTATCCTTAAGAAGGAGCATTTTTCTGCACCAATTCCAAAATGATTGATTTTAAGCCTGTGATTGAAAATGATTTGAATTTTTCAACCTTTGTATATTGTATGCAAGATATTGCTTTACCTCACTAGTTCTAGTCTCATCATCTTCTTGCTGGAAATAAATAGAAAGTTGAAATATTACTACAATGTATAACATTTTTTTCATCAATTTTGAGGTCCTAAAGCTTTGCTTTCAAGATAACAACAGAGTTGAATTTTTTTCCATTTTGGTTTACAAATCTAAAGGATTTTTCTTTGAAGATAGTTAATAGATAACAGATAAGACAAGCTTTGTTTTAATTCAACAACAAGCCCATTGATGGAATCAACTTTGTTTTAATTCAACAGTTAAACTTGATAGTCTTATCATAAATTGAAATTTTCATTGATGGAATCAACTTTGGTCAAGATAATATATTTTGATTGACTGTGGTCTGCATTAATTTATTCCGTAACAATTTGCTGAAAACAAAGGATTGTGATTTCAGTCTTTGAACATAAATTAATGTCTTTTTATCATTGTGATTGATGGAAATTCCTCTAATAACTATGGTCTTATTGAATTAATGTCTCATTGTGATTGATGGAAATTCTCTAAAATTGTCTCAAAAATAGTGACTTACCTCACAAGTCTCCACTTTTTCCTTCTAAAAGTAATAAAAAGACAAGTAAGAGTGACCCTTCTTGTATTTTATTTGTTTTGTTTGTTTGTTTACATTTTTTGTTAGTATCTCCTCAACAGCCCGTTCATGTGCATGTTCTATGCTGCAGTACTAGCTGCTATCTGCAATTAATTTGTGTTGGGGAGTATGAACTAATGTACCAATAGGCAAGCTATTTAATTTATTCAATGAAAATGGTCATTTGTAATTCCTTAATTCTTTGCACAACAAATGTTTACTCATGGCACTTCATACTGTGTTTGTCTGGGATGCCACAACAAGTAAAAAGAAATGATTCATCAATGTATAGTACTCTAGTTAAATAGTAGTGAAACCTCTACCAAAACTATTAGTTTCAGTGTTTGGCAGACATTTACCACACCATAGTTATTAAATTTTAAGCCTTTCAATAATTTTATCCACAGGGAATCCATTTTCTGGTATTAAGCAGGTCAACAAAAAAAATACAACAGGTTGTATTGAATGACTCACTCACCTCATGAATGTTCTCCTTTTCATTCTAAAAGTAAAATTAATTGGAAAAATAAAACAATAGGTAAACATAAGAATAGTTTCTATAGGTAATGGCAAGTGATATTTTATACGCAATTTCACAAGCCGTTAGGCGAGTGAAATTTGAGACAATTTTGAAATATCACAAGTGGCATTTACATCTATGTCCAATATCACATATCATACTATTGTTTGTTTATACTACTGTCCACAAAAGGTTTGTAGGTATTTCAAATTAAGGTGAAGTATCACTGTTCTAAGCCAATCAAAATGCAGAAATTTCTCGTGTAGTAGTATAAGGGCAATTATATAGCTGAAGAACTGATTACTATATGTATTCATGCTCTAGGCTCCACTGGTTGGAACTAAGAGGTGGTAAAAATTTCAAAAGAAGCTATTTCATTAAATTAACCTTCTTCTCTTTGTCCCTCCTCAACGATTCATCCAGCTCCTTCTTCTGTTGCAGGAGAAGGTCTCTTCTCTGATATTCCCTGTCACTATCATAAGGATGAGATAAAAATTACTCTCGACAAATATCATTGACTCTGGATTGTAAATGGAATCAAAATTCTCCAATGACTGTACCACCCGTTGCATCTTCTTATGAGATGTACTGATGTATGTTTGTAAACTTGAGCTTTTAACACTGTCACAGATAAAAATAACAATAACAATAATAAAAACAACAACAACAATAAGAATGATCAACAACAAACCGGTAGGATCTTAGAAACGGTGAGTGATCCCCGTCTTTCTCGTCTCGACGTCGCAATCCCTTATTGTAGCGTAAAGTCGTCGTTTGCAATCGCGCAGGCTGAGAAAAGAACTCGACGGATTTTAAGAGAAAAGGCGGATTGCAAGCAGTATAATGTCGAAGCATAAAAAAGGCAATGGACTCCCTCCTCCCCCAAACTCCAACTACGTGTCCAAAACACGTTTGGTGAAGTCTTCAAGACAAATCGTGTCATAAGCCTTTTTGATTGTCAGGCCCCCGTGGCCACTCTGATGACCTCTGGGCTCGTCACGCCTTCCTCTTCACGAGGGCGTATTATTTATGGAGGGAGGGGGGGGGGCGGGGGAGACGGGGGAAAGTCCTCCCTTTTGTGACCTCTCTTGGCCCCCTGCCTCTGGATTACGATCGGTGCCAGGAAGTAAATTTCGAAATGAGAATTTTGCATTAATGAATCACAAGAGAACCAGCAAAAAAAAAATCACAACATTCCCAAATCGACGTAACAAATTACGGGAGCGGGTGTTGCCCTCAGCGGGTAGCATCAGTCGTTTTAGTCAAAGGGGTCTTCGTTTTAGTCCAAAGGGTCTCAGGTCTTCGTTTTTGGGTCTTCGTTTTAGTAACACCCCCTTTGGGGACACAGAAAAATCTAAGCCCCAGATCGGATTCGAACCCACGACCCTCCGTGTTATACCGAAGCATTTTTTCAAACCTGGCTAAGGCCCCGTCCACACGTATCCGCTTTTACTTGAAAACGGATATTTTTTCTCCGGTTTGGCCTACCGTCGACACGTATCTGGTGAAAACAGTCACCTAAAACGCATCTTTTCAAAAACGCTCTCCGGAGTGAAGATTTTTTAATATGTCGGCTTTTCGTTTACGTGTGGATGGACGAAAACGAAAACGTTTTCGAATACCATGATGTCATACATCATTAAATACATTATATACTTCTAGCATGACGCATGCTCAATAAGGGATGCTATCGTATTTCCATCGTTTTAGCTTTTTCGCGTGGACGGGGCCTAAGACTTATGTAATCCTCATGGAATTTTCCGGCTCAGACTGAAAGGAAAGGCGGATTTTGCGTTATCTGCGAAGGTCGACCTAAGTATGACATGTGGTATGGATGAAAGAGAAAGAACGCACAAAATGCATTGCTTGTGCCCCCCTCTTTAGGTTTTGATTTAGGCTCGGGGCAGAAAACAGCGTGACCATTTTAGAGGCGGGTTTCTCATCCTTGACGGGACTGGCCGCGCGGCACGTTAACAGGGAATTTTATTGTCCAACCATTGTGAGAGCAGGTGATGTCACGACACGCTACGTCACAACGGTTAACCCTCCATCCCGCCTACCAACCAACCAACCAAACCACTTCAATAACATTCTTGTTTATTTAGCAAGCATTCAGTATTTACAACTAACTACAAAAAAACTAAAAGTGTACAACACATTTGCGTCAATAATCTTAAGATAATATTTGCTCAATTCTGTATCGGTTTTATCTAGAAAACAAACAATATTGAACAACATAACGAAAATAGAATGATAACCTTATAGGTATCAGCAATTTGCCTTCACTGAAAAAGGAAACGGAACTAAACTTAAAAAATATAATGAATCAAAACTATTTTAAGAAGGTTAGCCACCTCAAATAATCATTTTTATGAAGTCAGGAAAGTATCACGAATAACCCAACAATGCACAAAGAACCCTGATTTACAATGACACTGTCACAATAACGGTGCTTAAGGAATAAAAAATACGTTTTAAAAAAAGTTTTTCAATTTTCATTATTTACAATCAAACAACACTAACAAAAAAACATTGAAGATTCAAGCATTCTACAGTTACACCTTCAGCCTTAAAACCACAAAAATCTTTAAGAACCACCATTTTCACCAGACAATTTTTGTGTAACTTTTCAGTCTGAGGATGAAACTTTAAGCTTCACTTGTTGACCGTAAAAAGCTCAAGATTTCCCTTCCAGATGTGAGTCGACGTTTATTCTGGCGGTCTCACGTTTCAGCCACCTAACTAAACGCGACACTCCCGGCCTCGGTTGGAAATAATCAAAAGAATTAGATCGAAGTTTTATAGTGCCGAAGTGACCAAAACTTCTACAACTGCTTCTTGTAACTGGTCACTATCTTGGAGCCGAAAACGTTTATACCTGATTTAATCAAAATCTTTAACTACAGCCAATTTTACCAACGAGAGAAACATTTGTCAGCAATCAGTAAAGAACAACAACTGGTTCGGAATTGAAAGGGATATTAAGACTCGATATAAGTTCTTTAGACCTTGATGTGCTGTCCTTCAAAAATACTTGTTTAGTCATCCTTAGCAAAATAAATGTCGGTGTAGAGATTTTCGTGACGTGCATTCATGATGATGTTGGGGTTCTTACTGGTTCATCGCTTTTCCAGTCATTCGAACGCAGCACAAACTTACGATCTACGACTGCTCTGGCGCACACGAAACTTACGTTGAGGCCCTTCTTTACACACCAGCGGACGAGACTGCAGAGTTTTCTGCACTTTCAGAAAGCCACTGTAGCAAGGTTTTTAGTTTAGTTGTTCGGTTAGATGGATCAGGACCCAATCCCAGTACATTCCCAACGTTCACTTTTTCTTGAAAATACTCAAAAAGTAGAGTATTCACTACATACTCTCTTGTTTTCAGACGAGAAATAGCTTCTTGGCGGAATTCTTCTAGCTGCTGTGTGAGAGCACGACCGGAGGCCAAGTGTGCTAAAATGACCTCTAAACCGAGGTCTACTTCGGAGTGTGCCCAATCGTGTAAAATTTCATCCGGGGTCATTTCCATGTATCTAACTAAAGGGACGATATAGGGAAGGCACACTCCAGGGAAAGGACTGGGAGCACCTGAGCTCAAAAGACCAGCCAAGGGCTTGAGGGTGCTGTGGTAGAGAATAGCCGTGGAGCAGCACCGGTGGTGCAGGCAGGACCACGTGTGGTGAAGACGCGTTACCTTACGAAGAAAGAAGACTACAGTTAGACGTTTTGCACGAAAGTAACTATTCCAAAATAACTTGCACGTATTGGCATACCGTATTTTGTCAAATAAGCACCGCACTTGGGAGAAAAAACGTTACTAAGCGCCGCCCCGAATAAGCCCCGCGGCCCTGATATAATCAAAATCAAAAGACATTAACTCCGTTAAACTGGGAAAAGAAAAATACCGTAGTTAAAACAATTCTTTTTCGCGTCCAACTTTCAATAATTAACGTCGCCCTCGAATAAGCACCGCTTTTGAGGCAACAAAAATTTAATAAGTATCGCGGCGCTTATTCGAGTAAATACGGTAGCCCCACAGCAAAAGAAGAACGTATGCTACCAAATATTTTCTTATTTCGTGAAATGACTTTGCTTTGGTCCAGACTTAAGCCATATACTTGGGTCACTGTTTCACTAAAAGAAAGAGAGATGGGCTGGTAGCTACGAAAACTGTGTAGTTGACAACGTTGCTGTGAGCAAACTACTCTGGAAATCACTCTTATACAGAAGGTACATGTACTTGTGAAAATCTTAACACCTCAATCCAGACGTGACCCAAGGAATAAATGAAAGCGCTCATCGTTTCACATAACGAGCTTGATTACGGTAAATCCGGCGCCCTTTTGTTCACTAACGTGTTTTTTGCCTCATCGTCAACTCCGGTAAATAGATATACGACGAGACTGGACACTTTCTACCGAGATTAGACTTCGGCTAACAAATTTTAGTAAAATCCAACTAGTGGTCTATTATCAATGCTGCGTTCTGATTGGTTGAGCTACTACTAGGCTATATGTTATAGCCCGCTAGTAGCGAAAAGCGCGGGCTTTTTGGAGGCAAAAAAGGATTAAAGTCTAGCTTTAACTAGCTATTTTTTTTATTCTCGATATTTTTGACCAACTAGTTGGATTTTACTAAAACAATTATTCCTCTCGCCCTTATGGCCTCAGAGTCAATAGCCCATGAGGCCGATTGACTCAGAGCCCATTCGAGCTCGAGGAATAATTGTTAATGAGTCGACCTTCACGCTTATCGCATAATTACACACACAGAAGCGTTAATGTATTTCAAACATTTACCTGTGGTAAGGCAAGACCCTCCATGACGGCCATAAATGAGATAAGGTTACCGAGCTTATCGCTTAATATATCAGCCAATTCGATGAGCTTACTAAGCACCTTCTCTCTTGTACCTAAATCACCTGCTGCCACCACCAAAGTTGCCACCCAATGAGAAAGATTGGCGAATCTATAAACCAATTTAATGTAAGATCTAAGATTAAAATACTGAAAGCTCAGACGAGTCACTTTTAGATCTGTAAGCCTCACTGAGTAGGGCTTGTAACCCTGATCTGTGAGTCTTTTAGTCAGTAAAGATAAGCCTCGCCCAACCAAGAGACAGTACACAACCAAAAATCCTTAAGTATAGTACTGCATATGGTCATAGAACTTTTTTATAGAGCACTAGGGTTTGGAAGTCCTTAAATAATACAAAAACGTTGAAAACGTTTAAAAAGTCATGAGAAAGACTTGCTACAGAAATATGATTTCTTTAAATTATTTTATATTTTTCTGATTGTGAGACGTTAATCAAGATAGAATAGTACGCGTGGAAATGTTCAAAAGTTTGTTTGGGTGAAGCCCGATAAAGTGAGCACCCCAAGAAACTGCATGGAGGATAGAAGTACCGTCGCAAAAAATGATACTCAATGTTCAGCTTTCTTGGAAATCAAAGACAAAGATATATGTACGAAGTTTGAGTCTGGATTATGGCAGAAGAGGAGCGAAAAAAGATATTCAAAAAAAGTACGGCCACCTTACTGCTCACCTTTGTAGTAACTCGGATCTTTTCTCTCTTCCTTGAGGAAGCGTCAATATTTCCAATCCTTTGGCTCCTCCAGTGCCATCCTCAATGCTCCACGAGCAACGATGAGGCTCTTCACCCCACACTAAAACAAGGTCCACGCGGGTTATGTGTCGAGCAAGGGTCAGGCAGTCGGTCTCTAAGAAAGGGGTGAGGAGTTTCTCACCAATTTTCTTCATCACACTTAAAAATATTCCTTTTTTGTCCAGGGGCTTTGGCGATTCAGGCTGCAATCTTGTGGCTGTCTCTTCTGACTTGAAAGCGCTGTCATCGGCTGAGACTGATTTGGAACGTGGGCTGTCGTAAAAATCCTGCTTTGAATGTGGGCTTTGTTCGGATTTTGATCTTGAAAGAGATGGACGCTGTGGTTTTTTCGGTGGCGTAGAGTAACGCAGCTTGGATTCAGCCCCAGTTGGTTTGTCAGATGTACTATTGACTAACCCTTTGATCTGAGCCGCCGTCAAATTATCTCCTGAATGCCTTTTGTCGGGAAAAACACCATCCTCGATTTTAGACTGCACAGCAAGCAATCCTTCACCAGGGTAGGAGGGTGAAGAAGGAGCGCTAGACCTTGACACAAGCTTTGGTCGAGGCAGCACCTCTTTGTCGGACAATGTTGGGTCTGATTTTCGAAATGACACCACTCTCTTTGGTCTTGGAGGAGGTTTGTCATACAAATTGTCTTGGCTTCCTTTAGGACTGTCATACAACCCCTCCGTGCTGGCTCTAGGCTTGTCATAGACATCTTCTGGACTTTGGTTTGCACTATCATTTGACTGGTTACCCAAGCTGTTTTGGCTACCTACGCTCGGAGGCCTGTCGTTCATCGCTTGAGAATAATTCTCGAGCGATGGTTCGTTATAAAAACTTTCTCCAACTTGCGTTTGATCAGGATTGACACTAAAACTGTCCTCACTTTCCAGAACACAGTTTTCCTCTCTGGTCCTTTTTACTGTCGAATTTTTGGGTTCGGTTGGCTTGTCATAAAAATTGTCTGAATCAACTTTTAAGTCAGGTTTTTCATAATAATGGTAAGGGTCTTCCGCGATTTCTCCTTCAATGTTTGTTTCATTTTCTCCAAATGGTGCCTCATAGAACCTATCTGATATGTTCTCTTCTTTGGAAGCCTTCTCAAGGAACTGCCCTGGAATCTTTTGTCTTTGTTTTGACTGAACTGTACCTATTACGTTGCCTGAGGCTACATTGACACCATTAAGTTTCTCAGACAAAACGTTACTCCCGTTGTTAACAGTAAAATGCAATCCAGGGTCACTATTCTTTCGTGCATATTTGTCCAATTTCTTTTGCCGCAAAGGACCAGTTCCTGGGGCTTTTGGTGCACACCCGTTAGAAGGGCTTGCATTGAAAACATATCTGTTATGAAAGTCATCGGTTGATAACAGAGTGGCATCACGGCTCACGGCGTGCGTAATAACAGCTTGAGTCTTTGGGGACAACGGTTTTCCTTCCGAAACGTAATAGTTGATGAGTTCGGGTATTGAGTCAAAGCTGTTTTCAGAATCCTCAGTTCTAAACTTGATCCTCGTCCCTTTGGACGAGTTCACTTTACAGAGAGGTACATGAATGGATTCTCGCTTGTGCCGCACCACTATAAAGCAGCTTCCAGGCTTAGCAGGATCCTCCCGCACCAAAAAGTGCCCGTCACGACGCAAGTAACGCTCAGCAAAATCTGCTGTTATCTTGCCATGAAACCACGCTTGCTTCTCCAAGGGCAATTTATTGAATGAATCAGCTTCCCCCTTTCCTCGCTTCTTTTTCCTTTTTAGGATATCTGCTAATCTGCAAAACAAAACAAACAAACATATCTATAAACGCCCCACGAGCATTCCACTGTTCTGCAAAAGGCTCACACAGACAACAAGGTCGTGCATATTTAACATCTCTCGCTAAACGTTTGTTTCGAAACTGCTAACAAGTGTTTGGAGTTACAAGTTAAACGCAATGGTAACAACTTATTGAACATATTATATGCACATTGTTTTACGTAACCTGTTCCAGGCTCTCAGATAGTGGAGCCTGGAACAGGCTATGTTTTACGTCGAAATAAAATAAACACGACTAATGTCCTTGTAAATATAACTCTTTATGTCTCGAGCATGATACATCAATGAAAACGCACATGAACATCAGCACTCTCTGTCTTTCGCCATAAACGCTACTTTCGATCCATCACGAAGTTTTAACCTTTGAATGGGGTGATACAAACTACTTTGTAATCGAACACTGGGAAATGTATCTGATTTACGCGCTTAATTATTTACATATACTGTTTCTGCTACGTGGTGAACAAGTTATCACAGTTGGGGCATAACTGACTTCAAGGGGGCAAGAATTTACGACACGAAAAGTATCCCCGTATTAGAACAATTACAACGACTGAACTAAATTCTACACAGAACACACAAACACCAGTGTTACCTTCTCATGGGTGATCGTGGCCTAGGTATTGTGTCTTGTCCAATCTTTTGCTCAATCTTCACTCTTGCAGGAAGAGTCCTACTTCTACTCCTAAAGTTCTGCGTCTCAGTCGACATAGCTGTTTTCCTTTTTCTTTTCACCAGTTGACAGTTACCACAAACGGATCTACATAATAAGCTTAAAACGGAAAAATATCATCATTGAGATAGACGAACTTAGTCGAAATTCCCGTTGAACAAAAGCTGTCCGTGTTAAACACACTGAAAGCGGATGAACTCTACACGTCAATCGCCATAAAAAATGCTTTGTACTAAATGACGTTTCAAGTGATATTGCTCTCAAGTTACGGGCTTGCAACAAAGAACAATACAGCGAAAAATGTTTCTTCTTTAGCAGAAAAAACTCGTATAAGAGCGGCCTATGTTGCTTTTCTTGCATCATGTTTTTTTTAAACTTTTTTTTCTAATCCAATAATGTGTCCTCATTTTTTTCTAGTAACACGTACTAGAGATTATAACATTTTTTTTCATTAATTAACACTAAGTTCTTAAAATACAATAAGATGATATACCTATATTCTTTTTATATCTAAACGTTCTTGATGCTTCATACATTGCCGTGTAGACGTCGACAAAAGGGAAATAACGATGAGACGCTAAATGGCAAGGAGACAGCGTCTCGTCTATTCCTACGGTCAATAACTCCTTAGAATTAGTAATACTTTGAACCAAGAGTTTTAAAACCTAAGCTCTACAGATCTGCTGTGCGAGATTTTAAAAGTCTTTTCTTATGTTAAGACTCCTATACAAAAAACGCTTTTGTTTTCACACCATGAACATATCTTTCCTAATCCTGACCTGATGCGCAAAGATTGCGTTGCATCGCTCTAAGGATCTTAGAGGAAATTTAACTTTGCTCATTTTAGTCAAATGACCGACCGCTTCGACAAACCGGCATGATTGATTGAAATTCTAGATCTACAAGCGAGTGGCCTAAGGAAGATGACGTCACAATCAATCAAAGAACTCCGTGCCTTCCGTCTTTTTTCAGATTCACCCTCAACCAACTTCTAAGGGCCACAAAAACCGGTCAAAATAGTCAGTGTTTTTGCATTTTTTGATGTTGGCATCTTATAGTTTCTGACTTAAGTTATTCAGAGTTTCCGCCATTATGCAAACAAGTCCTTAGTCTTTTCCGATCCTCCAGAATCCGACAAAGAAAAATCAACACCATGACTTTCGAAAATGAAAAGCGTTAAATTACTTCCTAACAACGACTGATACACCGTAGAAAGACTGTAAAAATGTGTATCTTGACTCTACAAACCTACTACCGTTGCTAACCACGACAATAATTCTAACATAAAAATACGTGAAGGTGTTTCATTCCCTTCCGAATCTTCTTATAAAATATACGGTATGGATCGCTAATCTAGCGAAAAATTGACGTGACAGGAGTTCTTTGATTGTATAATTCGCTGACAAATTATCACTCCACAAGACATAAACCCTTTAATTTGCCACAAACAATGAGGGTACAAGTTCGCCTTTTTCCTACCCGGCTATTTGTTTATAGGGTTCTCTTACTCTTATACATTTAGGGCCTATGATACTTCCAAACCAAACTTGTTCTTCTAGTGAGACACACGTCGAAAGTTGGTAAAATCCGCAGATATTCGAAAAAATTGCCCGGAGGTTATGTTTTTGGTGAATTAGTCTTGTCTAGACTTACGCTGCAAATTTCACAACAAAAATGGGAATTTTTAATCTTTCTAAACTTTTTCTTTTCTTTTCTTTCACAACCGGAAGTGACGTTTTAGAGCTTCTTTTCAGGGTTACTTTCACTTGCAAATGAAGTATATTTGATAAAGGGTTCGCCGAAATGTGCTGAAGCAAGACAGACTCATACCCAACACGATACAATTCTTGAAGCTGAAGAATTCTGCAATTGTAAAGCAGGCCAAGATTTTGCCCTACCCTCTTCTCTAATTACTTCTTATCATACGTAGCATTTCAAGTAGTCAATCAACCAACGGACTCGATTGGTGACCGAATGACCTGTTGATTTCCTACCATTTTAATAACACAGTGTAGTTTTTTTAAACGAATTTCCAAGTTATTGTGGTCTAAAATTTTCCTCGCTAGAATCAGCAGTACTTTTTGTGAATCAAAATACGCATAAAAAACTGATCATTCCATTTGATTAATGGTTTGCGGTAATTTGCATTCTAAAATCGCCAACAGAGCGCGATGTCTTGTGTTTACCGAACTTTTTGTTTTCCACTGAGAAATCAAAGAATCATCGGACTGGTCTGTAACCTTTTTCTAACAACGTAATGATGAATTATTCACCTAATGACGATGAGCATTAGTTAATAGTTTCACAACAATGATGGCGTACAGAGAACGAAATGGCATCAATTAGACAATGAATATGGCAAGCTAAAGTACACAATCAACGAAAGAAGTCAACGCCGCATATAACGGAGCACTGTGTACACATTGAAACGCGTATTTAGGAAGCCGAAGTATTAGAAAAGATCGCAACCGCAATTCATTGTCGAGGATCAACAATCAAATATGGGTAGGGGTAAGAATATTGAGGTTATTATTCTTGACATGAACGACTGGGTGCCGTTTCCAATGTTGGCAACACGCTATATTCACAAAGAGTGCTAAAACCTTTCGAGTTACACGAACGAGATATTTAAGTCTCTAATGTGTTCGGGCATATACTGTCTAAAATTTCTTTCATGGGTTTTGGAACTATTAACAGATAACACGAAACATCCTGAGCAGATTAAAACCGGTAGTAATAGTCAGAAACGAGAGTACACGCTAGGCAAAATTTCGGGAATAATGGACTCCTGAACTCCACTACAATGTCACAACAACCGATGTCAAAGACAAAAGAAGCAACAAATCTTACAAGAATCGTTCCAAAAGTTTCTGCTTTGGAAAAAGGAAGTGTAAAAAGAGTGATTCTCACCTTATTCATCCAACATTGCCATGAGCCGTCTATTCGATCTCTTTACCATCTAATAAACATGCAGAAACGCTTCACCGACCCTGCGAGAACGGTTACGTGTTAATAATAGAACAATGGTGATTGGTGCAATAACGTACGGCTTTGTCACTCAGCAATGATTGATGAAATACAATACTTCTTTCTTCAGTCAACCTTCAAGTGTGGAATCTTCCAGAGCAGTCGTCATCACCGTAGAATTGTCCAAATCCCGCAAAAACGTAGGTGTAGTGTACGGGTAGAACCATCCCGGCTTGTCAACGTCCCTGTTAATCCAACCTAAGAATTTTAAGGGTGCGGTACGTAACTAACTACCATTACATTACTGCGCGAGTCATGTCAACTGATGGTCTGTTAGACTGTTGACGGCCTTTGATACAGTTTGGCGTTTTTCTAACCTTTGGTTTCAAAGTTCAATCCTCGGGGTTTTGTCTCTTCGTCTTTTGAGACTGACAGGAAGGAAATCGGTAGTGCTGTTCATAATTTCTAAAAATGGCTCAATGACTGAGCCCGGAACGTTATGACTACACAAGCAGGGGGTCTTAAATTTGTTTAGAAAGATTGAACTGGTTCTATTTTGTGGTCATGTCAGTCATGCTTTTTTTTACTAAAAACAAAAAGAGAAATAATCACAGGGTTTAACGGGTGTTCACTGTAGAAATTTTTAATCTAAACATTAATGTCAACTGAAAGCTGACTGGCATGTGACTGGTGGTCATACAATTCCCAAATTCTGCCCTACTTTATTGTTCGGCCCAGTCTGCTGTTAGCCGGGTCAAGCTTTTGTGCGGGAGAGTCTATTTTAAGAGAAAAAATCTAGCTAAAACTCTAGGAGATTGGTACAGTTGCTCTTTTCCCATATTTCCGGTGCCGCGACCTGTACAAAAAAAAAAACAACAAGTGCCAATAAACAAACTCATCTTGTTAACTAGGCGTCTTCAGTTACATAATCCATTCTCAGAATCTTTAGATTCTTTGGACTCGTTTTGGGATTATTCGTTTGTGGTGTGTGTCACGTGTATCAGAATGTTAAACTCTATATATTTTTACAAAGGCGAGAAGTGTTTCATAAAGTCGTATAAACGTTCTCGTTTAGTTCACGGTAAACGTATCTTATCGGAAACTTTTGCACAAATTATTACCCTCGATATGGTCTGATAATTTTACACTTAAATGTGAAAATAAAATCACGTTTTTTAGGAACTTGCATGAGCGGACCGTGACCAGGTCAAGGGGAGTCATGGTTAATGGTCCGTTTAGAAACTAGAACACCGCCGACTCGACGACACTTCAATCAAGTCAACTAAGCGGCCACAATTTTACATGATTTATACCGCCTTTCTGTACGCCAAAACGACTAGATCTAACAATGTGTCTGAGTGGAAGTTTTTTGAGGCCTACCGCAAAGGGCTTTGTCGGCAAACTCACGGTCCAATGCTGCTGCTCTTGGGTCTTATGGGTAAAAAAAACACACACACACACACACACACAACGATAATCGTGAAAGTGTGCGTTTTGATCTGATCAACCTAGAAAAGCTGGTCGGGTGCCACGAAGAATAGAATCCAACACAAAACCACCAAACAAAAAATATTGAGAGCTACTGGCTTCGTAGGGCTTATCCGTAGACTAGCTGAATGCCCAGATCAGGACCGACTTTCATTGAAATATTCATTTAGCACGAAAAACAGTGTGTCTTCTAAGCTTCAACAGTTTTCCACTTAGTTCTCACCTCAGGCATACTGGCCGACCACTTAAGGTTTCATTGCGCTACTTAAATCCAGGGGGGGGACGCTCCCCGGGAACCTTCATCCTGCCTTTTATAGCTTTTATAGTTATAGAAGTCAAATTCTTAATTTTCATCTTTCATAGAAGTAGGCTTTCAGTAATCTCTGTTTATCATGAAGCTTTAGCTGGGGACTCGGTGGAGATTGTAGCTGCTGATGAGTGCAGTGCAGCTCTTTTAGGTTATTTGCGACATTTTGGTGTCTTGGGAAAGTAATATCAGCCTTGCCGACTTGTTGGTCACCCAAATTAGTCTGTTTTAGGCTCGCTGCTGGCACAAGCGAAAAGCAAAGGGACACGGAGGACAGAAAAAGTCGACAAAAAAATGGAAAGAAAAGTTGAAAGGAGTGGGACGCACATCTTTTCGACCCCGTTCTTCCCAGTCCTCGCCCGCTTCACGGAGCAAGCGCTCGGTCGCGACTTTTCTGAAAGCACAGCCTGGAACATGGTACATTCAAACAGAATTTCGGAACTCCACTATATTCCGCTCTTGTTTATTCATAATCACTTGCATGATTGGTAAATAAAACAGGAAAAAAGCACCAAAACAAGGCAAAAAATAGAGCTAGCGTTATCGCACGCTTGATACGAGAAGCGTGCGTGAAAGACGCCGCAAGGCAGGGGTAGGATGGGAATTACGCACCACCGGAGGGATAGGCGCCAAAGGATTAATTAAAAGGGAGTGACTTTCGCACCCTTTCCTTTTCCTATTTTTAGGATATAATCTTATAACACCCGGATCAGATCGACTTATCTAGTGTATTGTGGTTACCCACTATTAGCCTGTTCCAGGAGCTCAGATAGTAGGGACGGCGCAAAGTAAAGTAAGCAGGAAAAAAAAAGAATAATAATAATAATAATAATAATAATGGTTTATTAACAGTTCCACTGGGTGGCTCAGTTTTGGCCCTGTTAAATTACATCAATTACAATTACAAAACAAATCAAATTAAGTTATTTACAAATTATGCAGTATACAATTAAAAGTAGAAGCAGGATTAACAGAATCCAATTACAGTAAAACTAACTGATCACTCTGTACTCTATTACTTAAAAAATTCCTTGAAAGTCTTAAAAAGGTTCTGTAATCTTTACAGTTTCTAATAATAAAAATAGCTTCGAGGCATTATCTTGGAAAGTGCCCTTTTCTGTCGGGACCGTTAATCCTAATTGAATTGCTTGAACGCAGTTCCTTAGGGCATTCCTGTTTTATTATTTTGAGATAATCTGGCCAAGTCTCAGTGAAAGCTTTAAAGCATGATTTCAGGAGGTTCAAATCTCTTCTCTCATTGATTGGAAGCCATCCGATTTTAAGTACATCCCGAAAGTTCTTAACATAGTGACCGAGTACAAAACTTGAGGCAGCAAATTGAACTCGTTGCAAACGGCGAAGTACGAATTGTGGTAGAGGGTAAAAAACCAGATCGGCATAATCTAGTTTTGACAAAATCAATGTTTCTGCTAGTTGCTTTCTAAGCTCATATTTGGCGAGATATTTCAGTTTGCTTAGTATTGATGGAGTGGCGTAGCATCCTGATATCGTGTGCTTGATGTGATCGTCCCACTTGAGATGTTCATTGATATGAACTCCAAGTAGTTTGCAAGATTTAATAGAGCGAGGGGGTGCATTCTTTCTCTTTCTTCCGCTTTTTCCTCCAGTACGCTCTCTATTTCGCGCCACTCTCCACTATCTGAACACCTGGAACAGTCCAATCCACTACTATAAGGGGTGGCGAATGGTACCTCGAAAAACGTGGGTCTCGGAAAATTTTGTCAGGATCTCGAAGTCTCGGAAGCGTTTACGATAAGTCTCGAAGTCTCGTTTTTTCATGGTTTGTTTTTACTTTTTTGAGTCTCGAAACTTTTTACCAAAGAGTCTCGGGCTCGGATTTCTAACTAGGATCTCGGCGTTTCGGCGAGTCTCGGATTTTACCATAAAGAGGAGCGGGCTCCTGCTATATCACATTATTCGGCTCTAATCCTCTTTACTGATAATTCGAAGAGAGATGCTTTGTGCATCAGTGATGTTAAGGCATGTGTAACAGCGGATTACTAAGTAAATTAAGGGTGATGAGAAAATCAGAACACTCCAGTGAAGGTTGAAGTGGTGGAGAAAAACGAAAGTTTGGAGGTCAGGATAAGCCCGGGACCATGCTTTTCAACAAGTCACGGGGAAAATAAGGTAATTCTTGGCTAAAAAGAACGAGAAAAGTGTGAGGCTGCCATGGCCGAGGTTTCGTGGAGATTATAAACAAATTTCATTCGAACAAAAAATATTTTATAGCTGATCGTTCTTAACGTAAAAACGTCTTAATGAGATTAAAGATGAAGAGAAAATATTCATGGCCCATAAACTGAAGCTGAAGAAAATGTAAGGGCAAGTTAGAATAATTTCCAGGTATGAAGGGAAGAGTCAGGGAGCTTTTTCGTTCCAGGTACAGTGGGAATTACTCTTCAGTAAACTCCCGCTTTGAATACAGTCAAACCTGTGTTATGAAACAGGATCCCATGTCCGCATAGGAGACGGTACAGTGGACTCTCTCTTAACGGACACCACTGTAAAACGGACACCCAGAGTTGGTCCCTCGCTTTCTCCAAGACGGACACTTGGTGCCGTTTCCAAAGGTGTCCATCTTAGAGAGAGTTGACTCTACTCAAAACAGGCATTAGGCAGGTTTTTTCTGATGGCATGGAAACTGTTTTAACGTGAGAGTCAGTGCCAGCAGAACTGAGAAGCTGGTAGGCAAATGTTCAAAGGGGTAGAGGGAACACACAAAAAATTCATTACCCACCGAAACGACGGAGACGCTGCTGTCAGCAGCTGAACGGTCTTTTTTATGTCATATGGCCTTAGGATCACATTGGTATCTTTTGAAGTGGGAAAAAAGTGGGGAATTTTAAATTCATCGGTATCATTATCTTGCGTTTGCAGTTCATCACTTACGGGTAACCCACTCTTCAGTCAAATTGCTATCATGCAGATGACAGTTTTTGTCAGGGTTCGGCTGAGGGTATGGTAATATAACATTACACCTGAAGTAATCAACCCAGTGTACCAAAAATTGCACCCTCCCCAGCTCTTCTCAATATATCCGAACCTAAAGGACACTTAGCTTACCGCATACACGAAATCATGTTTCTTTCTGGTGAAAGATACCGTATGCCCAATTTCAAATTTTAAAACCCCCGTATACCTCGAAAAACTGGCCGCCGGAACTAATGCCTCTCTTCAACGTAGGATAACCTTTTGGGAGGAGTGCCAACCGCAGCCTCAAATCGGATTTATTATCTCACCGCAAATTCCCATTGTAGCCTTTGTCATATTCTACCGTACTATCTTAAAACCACAATTACAATTGAATGGGTGTTAAAGCACTTATGTTCTTTACGATTTGCCAAAATGCTAAATTTACGGGAACTCCTTGGTTCCAAGGGAAAAATAAAGCTTGAAACTGGTAAGGAGGATGGAATGAACTGTAAACATGGTGGCCTTTGATTTGCAATAACCAATCGGGCAAACCGGGAAGATAGGCTCGATTTCCGCCACTCTCTTGGTCCTCCACGAGATCAAGTTGGGGAAGGGGGGAGGTTAACTAACCGGACGGCGGCTAGTAATCGATCCTAACGGGAAGACCTCTGCCGACTAGGAAATTTTCCATCGGGGAATCATGCACTATTTGCATTCCAGCCCGGTAAAACATTTTTGTAGCCGGTGTTGTTTAAGTTTCTGAATCGGCCTGATTCTTTGGTAACAGAATTTTATAAACCAATAACGTCAATAACAAGTGTTTTCAATACTCCATGGAGTAGTGAATACGAATGTGGGTTCAAACCTTACATAATCTGATTTCTTCTTAGTTACTACTTTAAGCTTCATGGCTTTTATCATATTTTTTGGACCCAATTTTTGTCCAAACCGTATCCATTCTAGTCACAACCCCCTAATGATCAGTACTCAAAGTGCACACGCATAATAACAAAAGCCATTGCAGTGTCGAACAATTTTATTAGTCTACTTTTACACTATTGGCCTAGTAGCTAGAACAGCTTGGGTACGTGCCTAGCTAGCTATGATTATATTCCATGCTCAACTGTCATTCGTTCATTAGTTCACTAGCGCTTACTATAGTTTCTTCTTTAAAAATTATAGCATTTTAGTTTGGAGAAAAAACACTTAATAAAGAAATAAGAAACCTGAAGTTAACAATAACAAAACACAAAAGCTATAAAGAATTAAATTTTGTGTTCTATATTTAAGCTTTGATAATAAAATTGTCAATCACTCTTATTTATGGTGCTGTATTTCACCATAACTTCCAGCGCTGATACTCCTACAGAGGGAGCTTAATAGGCAGATAATTTAACAAAACTTCAATAGTCACATCAGGAAAATGTTGAGTTGACCATATCACATAACCCTATAACGTTAACAATAGCAACCTCACTGGTCGCGTGTAAATCCTGGAGAAATAGAATGTTCTCGCTACAGTTAGAAACGTAAGTAAAGTTTAGGTTCGATACAGATGGGAATAATTCATACGAAGAGAAAAAAGAAATTTATAGCTGTACTAGCTTCCTTTTTTTGCAATCCACGCTATAAATTAAAAGGAAAGTGAGGGATACTCTGCGCAGCCGCTCGGGCAGGAGTAACGCAATCCCGGGACGCAATGGCATTGCGTGACTCCTGCCCGATCGGCTGCGAAGGAATACAAGAATGGTTAAATAGATAAAAAATTAAATTTATTCATTTTTAAAACTTATTTAACCACCGAAATCATCATTTTCACCCATCCTCACGGCTACATTTAAGAACAAAGTAACGACCCAGTATTCCCTACGCGTTCAAAAGCACGCTTTCGCGGGGTCAATACTGCTTTGTCAACAGAGCCAGGAAGAGCCAACATTATTGGGGGATAGTGAAGTTGAACACACTAACTATGGATGACTTATAAGAGGTGGAGGGCAAGTTTCGTTATAAACCCACTAGATGACCTTTGTACCCGTTACTTCGGTGGTAAAACTTTCAGCTTTATAACGTGAGGTAGCTAATTGCATCCTGGTCTGATGGACAATCCCCTAGATCAGCTTCTGTGCACTCTACGTTTTGACTTTCACGTTATCTTTGTCAGTTTCAAAATGGCTGAGGAACCAAGACCAGATATCGACGATTCGCCAACCAAACAAACTCGGCCTGTTTTCTTTTTTTTTAGTTATTTCCGTTTGATGAACCTTTAATAGAAGAAGCAAAAACAGCCCTAATTCAAACCGTAAATTTTAGAGATCTCCTTACATACTTTTTGCTGGAAAAAAACTTTCCAGATCTTTAATTTTCTTTTCGATATTATAACTTCGGTTCTTTATCACCTGAAATGCAGTTTGATGCGTTATTTTCAGGAGTAACACTGCACCAAGGACTGAGAGCAAGGGGTTTTAGGCATACTACTCGGCACCTTATACACAAAATAACAGAGGAAATGTTTCCATTCATTTCACCCACTCACTACCAGAGCCAGAGCATCTAAATGCGTTGTTTAAACTCTTGACTCTGTGACTTTTTCATATGAAACTTCTCCATCATACGATACTACTGATTTGTTTTCCGAAATCTTACAAATATTATTTTGAAATTTTGACTTGGGACGCTTATTTCTGTAAATGGAACAAACTATTTTTGTTGTATACCAGTAACTCCCTTGCCGACCCTAAAGTCCTCTATACGCCTATGTATGGCTAATCTTTACAATTTCAACGCATTTGTCCTGCAACGGCTAACACTTAGTCGAGGACAGTACATATTTAGCCATTAGAAGTATTCTCATAAAATTTCTTACAATTAAAGGTGTGTTTATATCACTTCTATGTAGCTGGAAGGAACAAAGCCTTCCTCGTCGTTTTTCATCACTTTGGTCCAGCCGCTACCGTCGAGGTCATGCTCCACTATCACTAGCACATCTCCTTCATTTATCGTAAGTTCGCCGTCATTGGAACCTGGCAATTTAACAGATCGATAACAATTTTCTATGGTCTGTACTCCTATCAACTGCACTCTGTGCTCTTATTACAAGGAATGAATGAACACTTTAATTTCGCTAGGGTGCATGATTACAGACCAACTGCACTCTCCCTTAAAAGATGAACTAGAGAGCAGCCATAAGGTATTTAGTACAAGCTGTAACAACTGAGAGAGCATGAGCTATAAGAAACATGGGTTTTGACTAAATAAAGGCTCAATTTTTATTTAATTACTCGTTGAATTACTCGTTTTGGTCATTTTGCATTAGAATTCGGAAAATATAACTAACCCCAAAAGCATTACCTTGGAAATCATAAAGTACTTTACATTGCTCTTCGTTTTCATACTCTTCGTCTTCGCCCCACTCATCATCGACAGGCTCTTCAACAGGAGGTACCAGCATGCCAGGGGGAGGGGGAGGGGTGGGAGCTGGTGGGGGCGCAGTTCCGTCGGTATTACTCGTGACTGGTCCCGGGGGTGGTTGGGCTTTAGTAGCCTTTGAATATTTTTCAGGAGCTGGTGGTGCCTCTTTGTTTTCCAAAGCCGCTAGATAACACTGTTTAGGAATAAAACATCAGTAATAAACGGGTTAAAAACAGACACGTCAAATAAAAATCAAGGCATGAGCCGCTACGAGAGATCATAACGTTTTACAGACGAGGATACTTTGTTTACAACTTTTTTCCCCAACGTCAGTTATTTGACACAAACATGTACAGTCAGAGCCCAGCTTTAAGGACACCTCATTATCACGGACAGTTTGCTTTGCCCCTGGGGAGAGAAAGCCCTTACATTTTCTCTAAATTCAACCCGCTTAATACGGACACCTCATTATTACGGACAGTTTGCTTTGCCCCTGGGGAGAGAAAGCCCTTACATTTTCTCTAAATTCAACCCGCTTGATACGGACACTTCATTATTACGGACAGTTTGCTGTGTCTCTGGGGAAAGAAAGCCCTTACATTTTTTCTAAATTCAACCCGCTTAATACGGACACTTCATTATTACGGACAGTTTGCTGTGTCTCTGGGGAAAGAAAGCCCTTACATTTTCTCTAAATTCAACCTGCTTAATACGGACACCTCATTATTACGGACAGTTTGCTTTGCCCCTGGGGAGAGAAAGCCCTTACATTTTCTCTAAATTCAACCCGCTTAATACGGACACTTCATTATTACGGACAGTTTGCTTTGCCCCTGGGGAGAGAAAGCCCTTACATTTTCTCTAAATTCAACCCGCTTAATACGGACACTTCATTATTACGGACAGTTTGCTTTGCCCCTGGGGAGAGAAAGCCCTTACATTTTCTCTAAATTCAACCCGCTTAATACGGACACTTCATTATTACGGACAGTTTGCTTTGCCCCTGGGGAGAGAAAGCCCTTACATTTTCTCTAAATTCAACCCGCTTAATACGGACACTTCATTATTACGGACAGTTTGCTTTGCCCCTGGGGAGAGAAAGCCCTTACATTTTCTCTAAATTCAACCCGCTTAATACGGACACTTCATTATTACGGACAGTTTGCTGTGTCTCTGGGGAAAGACTCCTCATTATTACGGACAGTTTGCTTTGCCCCTGGGGAGAGAAAGCCCTTACAGTTTCTCTAAATTCAACCCGCTTAATACGGACACTTCATTATTACGGACAGTTTGCTGTGTCTCTGGGGAAAGAAAGCCCTTACATTTTCTCTTAATTCAACCCGCTTAATACGGACACCTCATTATTACGGACAGTTTGCTTTGTCCCTGGGGAAAGAAAGCCCTTACATTTTCTCTTAATTCAACCCGCTTAATATGGACACCTCATTATTACCGACAATTTGCTTTGTCCCTGGGGAGAGAAAGCCCTTACATTTTCTCTAAATTCAACCCGCTTAATACGGACACCTCATTATTACGGACAGTTTGCTTTGCCCCTGGGGAGAGAAAGCCCTTTAATTTTCTCTTATTTCAACCCAACACTCCGTTAATACTGACATTGTACCAGCTTGACTCAATCCACAAAATGTTACGTCATGAACATTCAAGTGAAACATTTTCCGCCATACTTTCGCTTATGTAACCACTGCTCGGAAAGTAAATAAAACAAAATTCTCATTGTCCTATACCTAACCTGGTATTTGTAAAGGTCATCACTCAAGGCGTCCAGTTCTTTAGCATTTTCGGCAAGTTGTTGTTCAATGGTATTTGGATCACCTAAGGAAGGGTTCTGTCTGTAGACATCTACCATTTTCTCCATTCCCTCCCTTGATGAAAATAATAACAGTAAAAGGCTATTAATGCAATAGAACCCGTATAACTAGACCACAATCATAATAAAGAGTTGAGCCATACTCAGTACAGTAGGCTCCAGTTTTCCTTTCCGATGCTCAGACTGACCTGCCACAGGCCAGTTCTTGGCAAAAGGAAACAGGTGGCCTGAAAACCGGTGAGGAAGCAGGGGGGTCCTGAAGACTCAGAAATGGGCAAGGGTGTAACGAAATAACTTTGGGAAACATAAACAACATCCGAAACAAATTAGGGAAATCTAAAATTCTACACAAAAGTACAAAGTATGAAAATTCCAACCAAATAAGGGAAGGAAGTCTATAGACTCCTGCTTAACCATTTTATTCTTCACTAGGTGAGATGATTTCGCACTCTAACTTTTACATTTGTGGACAAAATCCTATCTTGTTACATGTACGGTTCTCAGAGTGAGGAATGGAGAGGAAAAACAAGGAAATGAACTTGATGCAGGTGTACGCTAAATACAGGTTTGTCTTTTAGAAAATATGAGAAGAAAAGCGTCGGATTTACTGACGCTCATTATTTCCTCCACATTCCTTTCAACAATAAAAAGTGCCGAGATCCAAACCATAAAGCTTTGTTTTGACTCTGGCTCTGGCAAACTGTTTTTTGTGAAAAGATTTTTTTAAGAAGTAATTATTTTAACGACAAGAGAGTTCAAGAATCATTCAAGAACAATTAAAAGACTTTTCAAGGAATTTTCGTAAAATTTAAGTAATTTATTACAAGCGTGAATCAAAAGGTGGTAGTTGCAAAAGAGGTATTATCAGCATCATACTATATTTACCTGGAGTTCTTTAACTGAGCCACTTGTGCCTCTAATTGTGATACTTTCTTTTTAGATGTTCGGATCTTTTGTCCAGGTGTTGAAAACTGATCTTTACCATCATCAAATTCACCATGCTGAAGAAAAAAAATTAGAAAATGATCACCCTTCACACAAATTGAATTCTATTATGCTGCCATCAAGCACTTGATATTCTTAGTTTGGCTTAATTCTATGATAAAGGAAAATACAGTCCAAGATAGAAGATGGCAAACAATTGTGGACCAGTAATGCACCTCCCGTAATGCGTTTGTTTTAAAAAGAGTAATGTTTCTGTTAATGGTTAAAGATCATGCTAATTATTTATAACAAACCTCTATTGAGTGGCCAACATCCATTAACCCCTTAAGTCCCGATAGTGACCAACAACAATTTTCTCCTAACAATCCCCATACATGTATTGCCAAAAGATAAGGTTATGAGAATTAACAAAGATTACCAAAGAGAAAATGCCTTGATCTTATATTAAATTCTCTCAACTAATTCTTAAAGGAAATGTATGGAGACCAGTTTGGAGAATTTGAATGTTGATACTGGGACTTAAAGGGTTAAGTGGCCACTTACCAGCAGTCCCGGAGGGTGGCCGCTTAATGGAGGTTCAACTGTACTCACTATTTAGCAACAAACCTAACTGGTATAAAAAACATTTTGCAAGTCAAACCTTTTTATTTTTCTTGGTGCCACCGAACCATCCAGGTTTTTTAACTTTCTTCTTTTCTACGCTTTGTGGAGCTCTGTTAAGTGTTTGTCCCTTTCCGAATTCCTCAAATGGGATATCGCCCGGTGGTTCATATGCCGTTTTGTTTTGTTCTATCAGTATCTTACTATCCTATATTAAAGGTAAAAACCCTCTTATTAGTGTCAATGTCTTCACTAGTAAATTGCAAACTGGTGAAACTGTGAAAAAGGAAAACGTTTTACTTAACATCACAAACATAGCACCCAAAATTTTCAGTCTTTTCTCTACTTTCTTTTTCTCCTTCTTGTCTGTTTATCATTCTTCACAGCAATTTTGAGAATATTGATCCTCGCAGTATTCTACTCTGTTAGCATGAGTCTATCTTAAAGGGGCCATGTCATGCTATTTGCTTAAACTTGTCTTTGCAACAACTAAATTCCAAAATAATGGTCCAGTTTTTTAATTTAAAACTATATTTACGCATTAAAACTGTTTCCTGTCATCTGTTAAGGATGGACATGGATTGAAACTTGAAAAAGATTGGCCAACATTTTCAAGTTTTAATGTTATGCCTGCAAAAATCATAAAAAAAAATAATGCTTTGTGCTCTATCTTCTTCCTAACTCTACAGGAGCATTTTTTATATGGGTAAAGGCACAAAGTAATGACTTTTGCACAGAATTGACCTAAAACAGCAATATCCTCAAGTCATAGTCCCTTTAACTGACCAATCTTGCCACAAACCCAGGGTTACACTTCAGGCCGTGTCCACGCTTATCCAGATATTTTTGAATCCAAAACTTTTTCTTTCCAGGTAAGGCTCCTGTCAACACTTATCCCGTGAATCCAGCATTCTAATTGCATTCTGCAACTTTTTGAATCTGCTCTTCAGAGTGGAAATTTTTTAATACGATATGAATCCGGAATCATGTGGATGCTAAATCCGGATATTTTTATCTGGTGACGTAACAAGATTGAGCCCGGTTCATTACTGTGAAGACTGTCTTCAAGACGGCAACCTCATTCCCAGCATCTCTCTCTTACCCATCGATGGTAATTGCAAGATGCACATTTTGTGCACTTAACAATGCATGCTCTGTTGCCAACATTCCCAGGGGAGTCCTGGGTACTCGAGTGAATCTGGATATGTGTCAGATACGTGTGGACAGGAATATTTGATTTGAAAATGGACACGATTGGACATGGAAATTTTTTGATCCAGAAAGAAAAAGTTGCGGATTTAAAAATATCCGATTATGTGTGGATGGCCACAGTTTCCTTCCTGAAAGGGGGTAATACAAAAAGAGCTAATGTTATTGCTTCTGAAGTGTGTTCAAAGGACATGAATTCAAGTTTTGGGGGTAAATTTCAGTGACTTTTTGATCGACGAAAAGGAAATTCAGTTTGAGTTAGAAAGGGATTTGAGTTATCTGAGTAAAAATGACTGAAAGGTGGGGTGAAATTTAAGGGAAATGGGACTCGGCTTGAGTTAGAGGGGAGTTTGAGTTATTGAGGTTCTACTGTACGGAGTACTACCTCTTGTCCATTTACAGACTTTCCATTATCCTTGATATTGTCCAGGCATTTTTGTATTATAGGGATTACTTTTGTCTCTACGTTAGCATATTCTGTCAGTAATTCACCAGTTCTCTGTATCCTGCGTTCATCCATTTTCTGTAGTTCCTGCAAACAAAGAAGGAAAAACAATAACTACTTCGGCAACATTGAAATGAATGAAAACAATTTACAAACTCAAGCCAGAGGTTTCAGAAATTCCCTGAATTTTCCCTGACTTTTTCCGGACAAATGTAAAATTTCCCTGACCAACTGAGTTAACAATTTCACAAATTAGTCCAGATAATGGATTCACCGCTCCCCTCACAGCCATCCCCTCTAGCCATTTTTTTATTTATGCTTTCAGAAGGTCATGTGCAATGTACATGAATAATTGACAGTTCCTCAATATAACGTGCAAAAAGGATTGATTTCTTTGAACCCCCCCCCCAAAAAAAAATATATATTCTAACAATACTACACAATTCATGTCCGTAAAATGTACAAATGTACTCTTATAATTTCACTTTTTCAAGCACTGAAATTTTCCCTGAGTCCAAGTGAAATTACCAGAATTTTCCCTGACACTGAAGAAATTTTATTTTCCTTGACCATTTCCCTTCCTGTGGCAACAATGTCAATGGGCCCTCCTTGCCTTATTCCCAAATACAGTCAAAGCTCTCCTTGCGACCACTTTCATAAGCGATTAGCTCTAGTTACAACCACCTTGGTGAATCATTGTTTGAACTGTGACTTTGTAACAGAAAGCTCTCGTAAGCGACAGCTCTTGTATAGCCTGCGAAAACATCCGTTTCTCCTCGCTCTTCGTCGCTGGGGACGTTTCGCGCGGAGGAACGTCTGCGACTCAACGACAGAAATTCCATACTGATGACGTAAAATCTGTCCGGAATCCGGTCAGAAGCGCTGATTGGTCGACGCAGCAGTTTCATTATTTTAGCTATTGTTTATGAATGACAGACAAAAAACAAAAGGCCACAAAGGTCAAATGTAAACGGAAAGAATCTCTAACAAAACAGTCAATTTTTGTGGAATATAGACTTCTGTTGAAGAAGCATTTGAATTTTGCTGGAGTTCGTGGGCAGATCAACACAACACTTTACCAAAATCGACCAGAAGACACGCAAAATTAGACAAATTTATATTTGGAGCCCCATGACTACCGGATTTATTATGTAAACATTAATTTGCGTCATCAGTATGGAATTTCTGTCGCTGAGTCGCAGACGTTCCTCCGCGCGAAACGTCCCCAGCGGCGAAGAGCGAGGAGAAACGGATGTTTTCGCAGGCTAGCTCTTGTAGCGACCGTGACCACTTTGGGATTACCTGACTGGAATTTTCTTTTGTTTTTCAGCTCTCATAAGTGACCACTCAGTGAGCACTCAGAGACATGTTATTCATATAAATCAACACATCAATTAAACTGCACACTGTGCTAATGGTCTCAAAAAACTGGGCGTTAAGTTTAGCCATGTCTATACTGTGGTTCAACAGTATTCTTGGTTTGAATTTTATTTTCCTTTTGTTTTATGAATTATTAATGATTTTCTGAAGCTCTCGTAAGCGACCACCCGCTATTGTTTTATCATGCAGTTGCTTACCAGAGCTCATTCTTTAAGCGACAAGTTCTAGTTACAACCACTTTTTCATATATCCAAGGTGGTTGCATACGAGAGCTTCAACTGCATTCACTGATTTATGGTGTCGTCATTGCAACATTTCCTCAAAAAATATATATACGGTTGTATTCTTACATCAAATACTGCTGGCATCTCATTGGTATAATGTAAAGTTTGTTTGTTATTGGTCAGTTCCAACTGATTCCTGTATTCTTCTCTAGCTCTTTCACAAGCCTGGCCTTTCTCCACTGACGTAGTCTTGTACTAAACAACAAAATTCAAGCAGAAGATGGAATTACACTGTGGTGTTTACGAAGATCAAAGCATCAGGAGGAATAAAAGCAATAAAATGGTTTACTTAGTTCACTTAATAAGTGACACCTTTGTATTTTGTGAACCCCCTATATATATCAGGCCAACAACCTGTATAACTGAGCATCAGTGGGTCTCAAACTTTTCTCCCATTTGAAGACAAATTTTACATATCTCAGAGCAAAATTATATTTTCTAAAAAACAAACCTGCATGATGAGTGGACACTCAAACTGGTATAAAAGAGCCATACAATAAATTAGTTTACCTTCTCAATCACTAATCTAGAGTTGGCCATGTCTTGATCTGCTTTCTGGAAAGCCTGTAATGCTGCCTCAGCTTCTTCGCTGGCCTTCATAAATGCCTTTTTACTCTAAGGAAATGACAATAAACAACAAACAGAAAGAACATAAAGCAACATATAAATTGGACATGTGAAATTTTCTCCCCTTTATAAGGACTGTAAGCAAAATTGGTAAATGCCCACAAGTGTACAGACAACAGACAGCAGTAGTCAAGACAGCTCATGAGTAACTGCAGGCAGTTTTAAAGAGTTCAGATTTTACAAGCACAAAAACATACATGGGAAGGTTGATGCATTTTACAAGAAAACAAGTCAGCCCCCCCTCTTTTTTTACTGCTTTCAATATATTTCATAAGAGTTGAGAGGAAATGTCAGAGGGAAAATTCAAAAAAAATTATACAAGGAAATTTCCACTGTGCTCCAAAATGTTCTATTTCTCACTTCTACAAAAATCTGCTCCATCGAATTTCTTTAAAATCACGGTGCATTTTCCTTTTTTAATGCCAAAAGCTATTGTCTGAAAAAAGAGGGGGTCACCAGTTTAATTTTCTAGTTATCAGTGCTGGATGCCAAAAAATAGGTTTAAATAATCCTTTAGATATGCTGCTATGGTAATCACTTAAGGAGAAATAACAATTTTAAGGGAATGAGAGTGCTGCTATGGCTTTGGCTTGCTTTATTGTTCTTTTCTTTCAAAGTTTTTACTGTCAAAAAAAGTAAAAACTTTTACAAGCCACCTCAAACTTTTTGAGCTGAGAGTTCTTGAAACAACAAACAAGTCAAAAGTCATTATAATGTGAGTATAACTTTTCACCCATAATATATATACCCAAATTTCAGTTGTCACCAATGCTGATATAATTATATCAACTTACAGTGTAATTACCAAAAAATACTACTTACAACTTCTAAGGCTTTCATTGAATGCTCTAAAGCATCTTGAACTTTTTTACCCTCACTGAGGTGCTGGAATGAAAGAAGACATTTGTCATGTTAATATTATTGGGAACATATAATACACCCTGATGAGTTATTGACAAAAAGTACATGCCCATCAGCAAAACAAAAATAATAACTCAAACGAAGAAGAGAAAGGCAAGAGGCAATAAAAGTTCACAGGAAGTTTATAGAGTGGCCGTCACTGTTGTCAGTGATGTTTATCAATACTTTATTTCAAAAAAAATATTCCTTATCCTTGGGGAGCGGCAACATTAATTTTATTCCACATTTTTTTCCAAATTGCAGAAATCTTGCAAGGCCGCGCTCTAGAATAAACACTATTAGGAAAATAACTGACACTGGTCACTCATGGGACTTTCATGAAAATCTTAAGGAACCTATTGACCACATCACCAGGGAAGATTACTCTAGATCCTACCTTTCTTCTTTCAGTCTTTAGCTCATTGTGCAGTAAATGGAATTCCTTGTATACTTTTTCAGTCAAACTCTCCACTATTAACTCATGCTGACCAGCTAAATCATCTGTCTCTTTTACAACACCAATAAAGGCCTTTTGGAATGAAAATCTGAACATTTCAAAAAAATAATAAAATAAATAAATAAATAACTGATTAGCCTGACAAAACAGATGACATTTCATGATGCCACCACTGGTTTCCCTGTGAAATGAAATCAGAGCATAGAAATTCCATATTGATGATAAATCACCACCAGGATCTGGGCAGTGCTTCTGATTGGTTGAAGTGAATTTCCTATAAGGCACGACCAATCAGAAGCACGCAACATCAGTATGGAGTTTCTGCACTCGTTTCCCAGACGTCATTTCGAGGGGAAACCAGTGCTGGCGTTGCAAAATGTTGGCTGTCAGGCTAATAAATGAGTCTTTAACTGTAGCATGTACAAAAGCCTGTGAAATCCAGACTGGTAGCATTGTTTACTAGCATAGCCCACCAAAGGTTTTTTCTAGGCTAAAATCTTTTCATGCTAAAAAATCAACATATAAATTAAACAGACTGACAAATCAACTGACAACAAATACTACAGTGGCTAAAACATCTACACTCTAAACAAAAAGGTGTTGCTGTGCATGTATTGGACAGCTTGATGTGAAAATTATTTGTCCAGTTCTGAACTGCTCACATACATGTAGCTGCATACATCATCTGAGAAAAAACTCTTTGATTCCTAATTTCTAAGAAAGAAGTCTATTTTCAAAATATCAAAACAACCAACACGATAACATTTTGTTATTCAGTTGGTGCCCAATAGACTATTTTACGGGTTGTGGACTTAGTACCCTAGCCTTCGGGTGAATGTGAGGCTGACGGTGACCTTGTTTTGAAACAAACCTCCTTTGCTTTGTTAAGGAAATTCCTTGAAAAATACTAGCTAGCATGAGAATAACTTGATCTACATAAGAAAGCAGGAAGGTTTGTATCAAAACAAGGTCACCATCAGGCTAGCCTCCATCCACAACAGTAAAATGGCCTATTACTTGACAAACTTACATTTGTTCTTCCTCTTCTTTTTTCTTTGGAAGAAATGACTTAACTAATTTCCTGACAAAAAAGAAAAATCCTATCAATGAGTTGCATATACCTTTAGGTTAGCAGAAACGAACATCTTTTAATTTAGAGCCTAAAGAAAGATTATAAACCAGCAAGATCATGACTGGAGTGTGTAATCATAAGAATTTGCTCTTTTTAATATTTTGTGATAATAATAATAACAATAATAATAATAATAATAATAATAATAATAATAATAATATCAAAACATCACAATGATCGGACTGCTGAGTCACCATTGTGTAGAATGTGTGGGAAAAGGGGGGAGAGACTGTGAGTAATTTTGTGAGTGAGTGTAAAAGTTGGCTCAAAGGGACATAAAAGACAGCATGATATTTGGCAAAGATTGTACATTGGATTAAGTTATCTGAGATATAACAGCTGGAATGGAAGGTTAAATGGTATGAACGTGTACCAAGTTGTGGAGAATGATGAAGTAAAGCTTCTTTGGGATAAGAACATCCAATGTGATAATGTTATTGAGGCAAGAAGGCCTGACATTTATAGTAGTGAGTAAGAAGGAGAACAAATGTCACTGCGTTGTTCCTGGAGGTAGTAGGATAATTATTTGAAGAGAGAAATAGAAGAATGTGGGGTGTAAAAAACGTGGATGTACAAGTGTAGTACAGCTGTACCACTTGTTGTAGGGGGCTCTTAGAAATATTACTAAAAATTTTGGACAACAGATTGAAATACTGGGAATTGGGATTAGAAATGGTCTGCGACAGAAACCTACGCTATTAGGAACAGCCAGGACTCTAAAGAGGGTCGTTGATTTTTAAGTACTAGGAGAGTTTTCCTGGGGGAACCTGGTAATTTGATATGACTGGCTTTAATAGGATGAATGTTGGTATGAGAACAGCCAGAGCTCAGAGCTTAATAGATAATAATAATAATAATAATAATAATCCCACATGTGAACACCTGCCCTCTTTTATTGCCACCTACTTCAATTTTGTCTCTTTCTTCTCTAAATTTTCCAAACAACATTGCTCCAATGAAGTTATAATATTTCAGTTTCATTCACTTATTTATTTTGGTTTCTAGCTTTTCTTAAAATGTTTTAAAACAGTTGGAAACTGAATCATTTTCAGTTTTTTTCATTGTGACAAATTCATGTCATAAGAGTGCACTGGTCAAGTTCTCGGGTGTCAAACTAATTTGGGAGCAAGCAGCTTTGACATTTAACTGCATTATCAACTTAAATGGACCTGTGGGTAAGCTGAGTTGCTCCCCCTAAAAGAAATAAATTTTTGACCACCTCTTTAGAGCACTGAACAATAACAACTGGAGGGAACAAATGACCTTTAGCAACTCGCAAGGAGTAGTTTCTTTGCTGAATGCTAGCTGGCTAGAAGACTTATGTGTAGCATACAAGTAGTATTTGCAAGAGAAACCACTGCTCACTAGATATCCTTCAGGCACACTGTAGAGGCAGCATGGCCGAGTGGTTAAAGCGCTGGACTTGCAAATCAGAGGCCCCGAGTTCAAGTCCTGCTCTGACCGCTAGCTGGATTTGTTCATGGTAGTCCCGAGGTCAAATCCTCGGCAACGCTTGTAAAATAATAGCCAACCGTTTTGCCTCTGGCCAGTTTGGATTCTGTTAAGTTTGATTTCGATTATTTGTCTTAGGTATTTGCTCAGCCCCACTAGCAATATTGAAATCATTATTATTATTATTATTATTATTATTATTATTATTAATGATTTAATTTTATTTTGCCCTGATTACTTCTACCCTATGTCATTTTGTTTCCCCTTAATGGGTACCTGTGGATGTTGATTTTGTCACCCGTTTTTCATCAAATCCGGGTTTTCAATGAAATCCTCACATACACCCCGTAAAGCTACTAGCAAGCTCAAGTAACCACAGCAATAATGATGGAAACAAAATAATAATAAAAGCAACAGGTTTAATAAGCAAAGCACTTTTGGGCAGATTTCTTTTCCGTCTTTGCACGACTAACATTGTCAAAATTGATCAGAAGGGTAATACAATAAATATTATTGTCGCCTTAATCTCTAAGACCATTGCTTCTTGAAGAATGACTGTCACCACTTCAATTTTGGAAATTTCCCACTGTCACCAAAAAGCACATACAAAAACTACGTAATTAAAAAACAAAATTTCCAGAATTGTGGATAATTTTAAATGAATGGCTATTTTTCTGTTTTTCCTATAAATGGTATTGAGGGTTGGTAAGGAACAAAAATGAGGGAGGAAACAAGGTCTAACGCATTCTAATCATCATCATCATCATCATCATCATCATTGCCCCTTGTGCCAGAGTGGGCATAACTTACTAGTTAACCCTCAAAATAATATCGACATGAAAAAAAGAACAGGCTTTAATTAATGGTGCATAAAATTTGCAGGCGATAATTTAAAATTTGAAACAATATAATTTATCAGCCATTTAAACACCTGGGTCATGCAAGGAGGAAATAAACTGTGAGAAGTACAAATTGTGTTTAGCCTTATCAGATTAAGAGGTGTAACATGAGGAAACATGTATTTAATCACTTGCTCAAGGTCAAAGAAATGTTTGGGAGTAGCTGCTTGTAAATTCGGAACCATTTTACTATGCATACAATATATATTTAGACATCATATTCTTGACATGCTATAGCAATTCCTTTACACTGCTAAAAAAATTCCCAAATGTTTACTTCGTCTTTGCTTGTCATATTGGTTGGTTTTTGGAAAATAAGTTTTAGCTTTTCTCCTTAAATGAGCATGAAAATCAGTAGTTTCTGAATCACAACACAGCAAAATTTTTGTGTTAGATGAAATATGATAGCTGAAAATATTACCAATCAACAATAAAATTGGGCTAATTGTTTGTTTCCAAAAGCTCGATCCATCGCACATGGCTTCCCTTGTTAGATACAGAAATCGCAAACACTCCATTAAATATCGAAAAAACAAAGATAATATTTCTAAAGAGTACTTAAGTAAACTAAGCGAAAAAAAGCATGCGTGAAAACTTCAATAATATTTATTGATAGTAAAGTAATGACCCAGACCAATCAGCTGTGTGTGAGAAAACATGCTCATGTAAAACAATGGCAAAATCAAATATGAACGTAAAAGATGAAGAAAGATTCTCACCACTTCATTAAGTCTTAAAAGTCAAAAAATCGGCGAGGAGGGAAAACGGCAGCTGTTCTTAATGGCGTATGACTTATTTCGATTTTAAGGAGATGTAAACTGAAATTCCGCCAGCCCTGTACTCACCGTAAATCCTTCGCATATCGTGTCTCGATTTCGCATCTTTCCTTCACGAATTTTGAAATCTTTTCCACAAAATCGATTCCAGCGTTTGTGTGGTTAGCTATGAGATCAAATTGGTCCTAGAAGCGAAAAGTAAGCAATGGCGATATTACAACACTTTACTGACAAATTATGGATATCGCGCAGCCGATGAAGTCGGATAAAACGCCAGAAACAAGCTGTGGGAGAAACAAGCGAGCAGTCGGCGATACGACAACTTACCCAAAGCTCTTTACCCCAGGTCATTTTGACGATCACAACAACACTGCTTCAGGCATTAAAAGAACACTACAGATCTAGAAATGAGGCCAGATTCCCTCGCTCATCATGAAAACGTATCTTCCAGAATGTCAGGATGCGATGGCACTTCATTTGCATGCGAGGAACCGGAGGTGCAAGAATGCGCGGGCTCATACGGTAAGTCAGAGGTGGGGCCAGAACCCCGGAAAAGAGGTCCTCCCACTCAGCGCTATTTCACGTCTGCATTGTTCTTGACAAATCCTGTCACGTTTCATAGCAAAATATATTGATCGCACTATCGACATTTTACGTGTTAAAATACTTGCGTCAACTAAGTGGTAATGACAAGTTCATTTCCGGTTAGTACACCGGAAGCAATATACATTTAAAGACACGGGAAATACTATTGAGTTTATAACATTGAAACTATGAGGGAATTTTTTAGAACAGGATGAAAGTCTAAGAGAAAGGGCGACAATTGAAACTTCTGAAGTTTAATGACAGTAATTATTATTTTATCTATATCTAATTTGTTGAGTACTCAAAGGACTCTAGAATGTTTTGATGTGCTTTGGAACATATCTAGGACGTCGTAACGGCATGCCGACGTACTCAAGTAAAAATACTCAACAAAAAACAGCAATGTGTTTCTTCTGTAAATGCCTGGCATTTTCGAAAGGAAAATTGAGAACCCACCGTAAAAAGTATTCATATCATTCTCTTTTGGCCTGACGCTCAGGAAAATGTCCTTTATTTATCTACAAACAATGCGGAGTGTGGAAGAAAACGATTATTTCAGTCATCAGACTTTCGGGCATTTTCTTCCGCCATATTGGAAACCAAGAAGACACTTGGGACGAGGTTGGAAATAGACCTCTTTAGCTTGTATGTTTTATTTTCACAACAGAGATCCCAGGGGAACTTGACCCTTTGTCTTTTCATAAATTATGCATACATGCATATGCACGTGAATAAAACGAAATTTGAAAGAAACAGTTCTCTAGAGTATTATCACATGACCTGTATTGGGAAAACAAAACATACAAGCTAAAGAGGTCTTCCTCTGCTGTGCTGCAGGGTAAGTGCATGGACAGGTTTAAACAAGTTCTTAAGAAACCATAAGTGCTTATTGTGGGAAAACAAATCACGATTTCCTAATTTTGTTTACAAGTGCACGTCAAAATACCAGTTTTCATGATTCAAACTATTTTGTCTCATTATCTGCAGGTCTCGGAACAGGGGAAGGAATGCTACATTCACAAGAGCACCAGCTTAAACCACTAAAACATTATTTTTCTGACCCATACCTTTTAGAGGGCACTTCAAATAAATAAGTCATTAATCTGCAAACCAGGGATAAAATCGTAAAAGCAGACTATTATTTATTGACCTTTATTGCATTTTTAAAAGAAGCTGTGTCCTGAATTAATTTAGTCACTGGGAGCAAAACATAGAATTTTCAGGTAAATATAAAGAAATAGAGAGGGTTATAAATAACAAAACAAATACAAAAGATGGAAAGAATGGGCAAGATTGAGGAAAATTAAAACAAACAGCAATTACTGGGATTTTTGAAATAGTTTAGTTGCACAGTCTTCAAAGTCACCTCTAACTTTATAGCATAACTATTTTTCAACACAAATATTTTGTAGCTAGTCATATTCATTTTGAATAATTTAGTAATTTGAAAAGGGCCACCTCTCAGCAATGTGCTAGACTGCTCCCATTTTGTTTTATTGACGTCCTTTTTACAAACATTATAAAGTATGTATATGGTTTCAAACTGACTAGACTCTCTTTGAACTGTACAATTTCATTTTGACAGCTCAGAGACATTTCACTCTGAGAACTGCTGTCACAATGGAGATAGACCTCCAATTCAATTCTGATTTTCATGCTTTCACATTACGATTCAGCTTTAAGTGATCAGTGTTTAAGACAAGTGATACCCCCAATCCCCCCAGAATGAAAAGACTTCTTCATTACTACCAAATTTGATCATCTTTTTTCATGACATGACCACTCTAAGAGAAGTAACAAACGGCTTTTCTCATACAAAAAGACAAAAACAAGTTATAAATAAGCAACTTGCAATGACACAGCCTTCGTAGCAGGCATAATCCAAACCCAGACAGTCGCATCTACAAAGCAACACCCTTGTTCATGGCCACCAATGGACTACACAAATCACTGGAATTCACTTCAAACTTACTAGCAAATCGACAGTGGCATTTTCGACAGGCCAATCATGGCAGGTACTCAAATCCTGGTAGTCAAGTGGGGGCTCAGAATAAGGATATTGGCGGATTTTTGAAGACAGACTTAACCAGAACTTAAGTAAGTTCTGTCTGTGGCGCAGGCTACTATTATGACATTGATCAGTTACATATATGCTGCATAGCCATACTATGTTATACCTGACAATATTGAGTAAGTAACTATGGAATCATTCATTGCAAAAAATTCGTAAGAGTAATCTGTCAACATGTTGTATCTAAGTGTGAGACACACTGGACTTCTGGCAAAGCACCCAGTTTTTCAGTGCTTGTATTCCACTTGCTGTGAGCTCACAATATTTCTCCACAAAATCATCTGGAAGTGGCTTTTTAAGACCACAGGCCTCACTGGCCTTTAATGCAACACTTCCGTCAAAGTTGACAAAACATAACCGCACAGTCAGCTCTTGTACTGGTCTAAGAAAGGACGGACCTCCAGGCATTAGTGCAACAGCCACGTCCTCGAAGACTGTGTCACACATCTGCTGAGCGGTGGTTATACCACGCTTGGCCAAGGCACATCTGACTACCTCAAAATCAGGGAACATGTAGAACCCCCCACTTGGTTTTACAGCCTTGACACCAACTTCTGTAAGGTGATGATGACAGTAGCTTCCTACAGCTGCCAAAATGCGGCGCAGATGGGAAATATAAGCTTTTGTCTCATCATTGACTCTCAAATAAGAAACAGCAGCATATTGTATGGGTGCAGATGCACATGAATAGGTATGGCTTGCAGCACTTTTAACAGCATCTAGTAAAGATCTTAACATTGGTGGGTATATGTGATAGCCTAGACGCCACCCTCCAGCGCTTGCCCATTTTGAAAGCCCTGAGCTCAGTATTGTGCCTTCAGGATAAAACTTGGCCAGCGAGCAGTGGTTACCCGAGAAATTCAAGCAGCCATAAATCTCATCAGATAAAACTATCACATTGTGTTTTCTGAGTACTTCCACCAATTCTTTCCAGTGATCTTCAGTGTAAACAGTGCCAGTTGGATTATCTGGATTCACCAAGATAAGAACTTTATTTTTGGCCGAGGATTTGTTGAGCGCGCGTTCCAGATTGTCTGAGGTCACCCTCCAGTCATGGCGATATTCTGTTGTTATAACAGTAGGTTCATGCCCAGCAAGCCGAGCTTGTGGTAGGAATGTGATCCACGTGGGAGACAAAACAAAGACGTCGCCATTAAACACACAGAGAAAAAGAAAAAATAATTCTTTGCTACCAGGACCAACAATAACATCTTCAGCCTTGACATCAAGACCGTCAAACTCACGGTGAAATTCGCAAATCGCTTTTCTGAGTTCCTTGATCCCAGCCACGGGTAGATAATCCGTTTTGTCAGCGTTTTGGGAAAGACTGCATTTGGCCAACTCCGTAATGGGAAACGGAGATTGACCGAAAGCAAGATGGTACACGGTCTTACCAGACGCCGTGAGCTCTTTGATCTTCTCGTTCAACATCAAGTTAGCAGTTGGAGCATAACCGCAGAGATTCGAACGGATAAGATCTTCGTTTTTCCGTGCCATGTTAGAGAAAATTTTCGGTACAAACCGTCACGCGCTGGCGATCAAGCTGCGGGAATATTTCGTTTGTTGCGAAACAAAGGAAATATTACACCAAGGAAAATAAATTAGCATTTGAAAGTTTGTTTGTCCTCTGTCCAACAGTTACCCTAGTCTGCTACACAGCCGTTTTTAGTGTCGTCACGCAACGCAGCATTGCGTGACGACACTAAAAACGGCTGTGTAGCAGACTAACAGTTACCCTGGGTGCCAGAGACTTTTCATGCACGGTTTCCGGTTTCGGTCAAGTCTTACAGCCAAACCAAGTCAAGCGTACCCCCCAAGATTCTGCCAGTGAATTGATTATTTGAAAAATGAATCCGTTAGTCGTTCCTGTAACTGGTGTCAAATTCAAAGCGGCATTTCTGCATACGTAATGAGCAGTGAATATTTTACGAGAACTTCTCTGTATTTGGTCAGATTGGAAATCTTTGAATGGATTAAGCTTCTTAGAAGACATTTACATCAATTTCAGGAAAATGGAGCTGGTAGAAATTTCATAACTGCCTCTAAATTACTAAATTTTTAAATTAACTCTAAATTATTAAATTAACTGCCTCTAAATTAGATTCTAAATTACTTAGACTATCTGAGAGGTAAGGATGAAGATTCTATAGTTAAACAGGCCTTACAAATTTCAATTGACCTTCATCATAACGGAAAAACTAGCTTTTACAATCTCATGAAAATGGTTCAAACTTTTAAAATAATTGATTCATTAATTAACAGGTATATCGGCATTGAAAAAATAAATACGGGGTGGAATCAGACACTTCAACAATCACCTGGTTTCAAAGACTGTTTTAACAAGAAAAAAAAACCTTCGAGAAAAACATTATTAGATTTAGAATAAGTAGTCATCAACTTAGAATTGAAACAGGTAGATACGAAAACATTCCTCGCAATGAAAGGATATGTCGCACAAGTAAGAAAACCTGAAAATCTTTCTTACTAGATTGGGTTATCCAACGATCTGAACAGTCTGAAATATGGCGCAAATGGGTTTCACACGGGGGCGGGGGGTTTTCTGGGGGACGTCTGTACACAGGCTACGCAATGGGCTATTGAAGAATTCAGATTTAAAAGTTTACACAGCTCTTTTTGTTTACAATTTGGTGATTGGATACTCTAAAAGAAGAGAGAAAATTATCCGATTAAAGGCTTTTGATAAAAAGAAAAAGATACCCGGGTTTAAATCTAACCAAGTCCTTGGGACAGTACTGCAGTGTTCATATTTTTCTGTTATTTCTCGGTTCCCTCTTAAAACAGTCCAGCGTTATCAAAATTTTCTTGCAGTTCTCCCTCCCCACTCTATACAAAGTTGAAACTCGGAAAAAAATTCTGGATACCCGCGTCCAACATTGTTTGTGGGGTGAGGGAAGGGGTTGGATCTGTGTGTCCCGATGATGATTGTCTGAAAAAGAGGTGGGAAGAAAAAAGGCAATTTTGAGCCGGGGTTTTCAAGCCTGTAAAAGTGTGGTTTCGGGATTCTGATGAAAGATCGTAATCGAACAAATCTTTTCCCAGCTTTTCGGAGTTTTCTGAACGTGTTTTAAGAATTCGTTCGAAACGAATGCATACACCAGAAATTGTGGAATCTTACAGCGCGAGCTTTATTCCAAAGGATTAGCGCAGTAGTCTGTCTCATAATATCTGTTCTTTAGGCAACTTTTTGCTGGCTGAGAGATTTTGAAAAAATAATATCTCATTGGAAGGAAAGTGTTGCCGGGAAAAAGAGAAACTGAGGGTGCCTAAGCGGATTTGATGTCTAAAATAGCTGCTATGTGCTATTTCTCAGAAACCTCTTTACATTTAACTGCAGACCAAAAGAATCAAACTGAATTTGGTTTTTAAGCTTTTATATCTGAATTCAAAATTCTCACTAACCCTGGGGGTTATCTTATCCCTGCTTTGAACAACCCGGCTGCAGCTGATCCCCGGGGGGGCAGTTGGGTATTTTTTGGGTGGGTATGTGCCGCCCGGGACTCCAAATTGGCACCCCGTTCTAAAAACAATTTTCCCTAAAATTGATACCCCGTTCTAGAAATGGGCCAATTTTTTGTACTCCGTCCTAGAAAGTTTGTAAATTGAAATAGCCCTGTTTTTTAAAAAAGATATTTCTTTATTTGTTCGACTTATACATCAAATAATACTTCTTCAAAACTGGCAACAATTTTAAGCAGAAGACAAAGCCGTGATCCACAATTTTTTATACCCCGTTCTAGAAAACGCCTCTGAAATGGATACCCCGTTCCAGGAGCCTATCAAATGGAGTTGATGGGCAGTGTTTGCATACAATCTTTTGCTAATGGACAGTGTCACGGTTTTCGACGCCATCTTGACGAGTAGGCAAAAGCGTGAGAAATTACAGTGAGAATCTAATGTCGAATAATTTCCGTAGAACGGCTGTTCTGAAAAAAATATGATTTGTAAACTAAAGCTTTACTCCTAAGGATTCTCCTGAAAAAAAATTGAGGGCGTTACCTTCACTAGAAGACCTAGAGCCACTTTTTAAATTTTCTATACATTTGTCTGTAAGAAAGTCCCGGAAAAATTACACACAAATATATGGAAAATCTAAAGCAAGCCTCTGGAGAAATTTAAGCACAGGTACGCCCCCAAATTTTTTTAGGACAATACTTTGCTTTGTAGCTTTAGTTTACAATTTTTTTCAGAACAGCCGTTTTAGGGGAATTATTCGACATTAGCTTCTCATACAAACACTGTAATTTTTCACGAGTTTGCCCACTCTTCAAGATGGCTGAAACCGTGACAAAGTCTATTTAAAAAATTGTAGAGGCAGATTTAGTACCATCTTAATTAAAAGGAAATTTAGGGTGGCTCTGAAGGAAACTGCTACCAAAAGTTGAATCTTGATAAGCCAATTAAATTTGGTTTTATAAAAGAGGGGTGATCGACCTCATTTTTTAACTATAAGCAGTAAAGCTCACACTAAGGGAGTTTTTCACAGATTATACTGATGGTTTAGTATCCTTTTAGACCAAAAAATGACCATAAATTGTTTACCAGTGGCCAAGCATTTGCTTGTTGCCTTAACTGAGAAATCGTGGTAATACTGAAGATAAAGTGCTAAAAAATATGGAAACTATTGTCAGCCATCTCAATTGAGGCTATTCACCACTTCTGAAAATGCCACCGCCGACAAATTAACCTGAAGACTTGGGATGATGTTAAAAAGACCAACTCGCGGACTTTTGGATGTTATACGTACTAACGATACACTTAAGAACGTTACTGAGCGGTTTAATATGAGGCCAAGACTCCACGCACGGTACGGATTGTTCGAAGTTACATTAGATCAATGCAAGAAAAACGTAGTTAACCAGGGTATGAAATTAAAGTTTTTGTTGGAGCCACTTGGCAACTCAATATTTCAAAGTGGTGGCCAGTTCCACAAAAAACAAAACCAAACTAAAAAACTAGAACAAAAACCAAAAGAAGGAGAAAACGGCAGGGGCACCCAACGTAGCCTGAAATTCATCCGATTGCTTCGAGTCGTTTTCTTCTCTGCGGGAGTAATAACGACTCGAAGTAATCGGATGAAATTCAGGCTACCGTAAGGGACATACAATTTTTTTTTCTGGCTTAGGCCATCCCCATAAAATGTTTCGTTTCCCATCGCCCTCCCTCTCGTGAAGGTGGGTCGGTCGGTTGGGAAAAAAAAAAAAAAAAAAAAAAAAGAATGAACACATGATTGCATATGAAATCTCACGTTTAGTCTGCAAGATATGATCAGATGGTAAAAGATGTATATTAACAGGACTATCAAATGTCTAAAAAGGCTACAAAAACGAAGTATCGATGATAATTTAAGACAATTGGTGTTAATAACACAAGATCGTGTGCATGTAAGTTAAAGTACTTGCTTCGTATAATTCTTTACAAGTGATTGTGGAATTTTTTTTTTTTTGTACTTTTCCAAAAAAATGGGTCGGTCGGGCGATGGGAAACGAAAAATTTTATGGGGATGGCCTTAAGTTATCGCGCGATAAGTTAAAATTATTGCGCGATAACTTGAGCAAAAAAAAATTGTATGTCCGTACCGTACTCTTCCCCGTTGCGTTATAGTATGAATCTGCAGGACACTTTCATCGTTTCTCTCTTTCAGCGGTCGGTTTCTTCCAATTTTAATGTCATGTAAGCAATTGCTGTGTCCTTGTTCGACAGAGATCAGTTTTGGCGGGAAAATAACGAGCAAGAAATGGCAAGAAAATTAGCTTTTATATTTATGTGGTAGACTTGTCTATTTTCGCCATCTCAATGATCACATGGTGAACTGCATGCACTCGCGATTCGTGCTCTCAACCACTTTCTGAACACGCTTTCATCCAAGATGGCTGCCGCAACGCCGTTGTTGCCGAGAAGAATGTAACAACAATGCTGTCAGGTTAGTTAACATAGAAACAGAACTAAAAGTGCTGAAGACGCAACTTGAAATCGCCTTCTTTACTTTTATTCGAGACAACTTTGGCACAAGGCTAGTGTAGTATAAATTAACTGGGGTCAATTTAATAAAACCACAGGTGTCCCAGACGTAGTATGTGTCACTGAATGAATATATTAATATTCATATGGACAAATTAATGCGATGAGTCGTCGAAACTCCCATGGACTAAAATAGTCCAAAAGTCTAAATATAACAAAATAAAGCTAAGATACCTTTAACTGAACATATCCTTGTCTTTCCTGGCCAGTTAAAGTGGCATTTTGTTGAGTTTTGCAATTGTAGGTACTATCCACTAAAGAAGAATTAAAGGCTGGCTACAAAACAAACGGACCATCTCTACGCAGAGACTGTAGCTCAACAGTGCACACTGCCATGTATGAATACAGCTGTCTTTCCTCGCCTCTTGCTGCTAGGAACATTTTACAGGAGAGACATCTGGGCCTAAACAACAGAAATTCCATACCGACAACACAAATCAATCTTTATAATTATGATTAATCTGGCACCTTGAACTTCCCCAAACAATAATTATATTGATCATTTCAGAAGCTATAATATATTACGTGTTATAAAGCACTTTTCACACAAGGTAACAAACAGTGACAAAAAGTGCATGTGCCAATGAAAAGT